CAGCACAAGTTATCCTCAAATTTCAGATGAGTGAAATCTTCATACTAATTATATGGGCTGTAAATATTTGGATAAACACTAGATGGCAACAGTAATTTCATGGTTTAATTTGCTGCCATCTACTGATCATCTGGAGTTGCTGCTCAAATTTATTAAGCCAATTTTCTTTCCTCTTATTACCTCACAAAGAAGAAGGAGAAAAATGAATGGATGATTGGCAGCAGTTTCCTAGAAAGGTATCCGTACCCCAAGGCCTCCACTTCTAGTGCGTATTCAGGCTTTTATTGCAACAGTACATTTAGTACTAGAAGAAGAGGAGGTGATAGTGCCAGCACCCTCTCATTCCCTCTCATTCTCTCCTTTTTTCTATGCTGCTGCTGTTCTGAGATAGCTCCAAATCCCTGCCTGGGCTACTGTATTTGTGCTACAAATATCTGAACAACATTAGCTGTGGCAACAAAGAGAAGTATAAATTCATAGCTCTTTAATGCACTCTATTGGTTGTCTGGATTTTGCCATTCAGAAATGATAGCCCTACTTCATGCAATCAAATTTGTTGAAGGTGTGGGGTAGGAACTAAGCAGCAAAAGGGAGCCCAGTAGACTCCCCATGCTTGTGGACTCTCAGACAGCTGTTTTTCTAGCCTTTCCTATATATTGTAGATAACATAACAGATTTTGTTAGGTTTTAGAAATCATTAAAGCACCCTATTTAACCAAAACTTGAGGTTCATAACCCCAAGGTGCTAAACCTGAAAAATGTCTTTATTCTGATTTATATAAATGACACTAAGCATTAATTGATTTTTATAAATCATTTTTTCCTTGAATCATCCCAGCAAACAACAAACTCTTTTTTTTATTTTTTTTATTTATTTTTCATTTTTCAATACATTTAATACATTCAATACATTAAAAAAATACCTTTGAAATAAATTCATACATATAACCTTAGATGTCGCTCGTCCATCTCCCCCCCAACTGTATCCGCCCTCTCTACGTTCCTTCCTTCCTTCCCTCCTCCCTCTCTCCTCTCTTAACCTCTCTCCCCTCATCCCTTCCTCCCATCCTACTTCCTTCCATCCCTTCCTCCTCCCCTCTCATCCCTCTTTGGATAAAGTTCAGGGGAAATACCCAAGCGGCACCTCTCTCTAAATTACTCTACCTATTTTATACATTAATATTTCTGTTTATCTAATTCCACCCATCCCCACCCCCCTACCCCTCCCACTTCCCGGAGCAGAATACAGGGTTATTGTAAACAAAACAAACACAATCTATAACTTTTAAAACAAAAAAAATTATACAATAAACAAATTCATAATTAACCCTTAACTCCCTCTAAACTTTAACATCATAATAATGTAAACAAATCTATTATAAATCATTTATTATAAAATTCTATAAATAATAATTATTATTTCTTTCAAGAAAAAATTTAATCATAAAATAAATGGAACTTTAAAGTTCCATATTTATTCTGAATATAATCTGTCCATCTTCTCCATACCCTAATATATTTTTCTTGTGTATGATCCTTTAAATAAGCAGAAATCTTTGCTATTTCTGCTAAATTAGAAATCTTGAATATCCATTCTTCTAAAGTAGGCAGCGAATCCTTCTTCCAGTATAAACCTACAAGTAACCTTGCTGCAGTTATTACATTCAACATTAAAATAGTTTCATTAACATCTAAATCTATAAAAATACCCAACAAAAATAATTGAGGAGTAAACTTTATCTTCTTTTTAAAAATCTTTTGCATGTTCCACCAAATCATTATCCAGAAAGCTTTAACATTCTTACAGGTCCACCAAACATGAAAATAAGTTGCATCAGTTCTACCACACCTCCAACATTTAGGCTGTAAGTTAGGATACATACAAGACAGTTTTTTAGGATCCAAATGCCACCTATAAAACATTTTGTAAAATTTTTCCCTCAAATTTTGGGCCTGTGTAAATTTAACATTTCTAATCCAAATAGTCTCCCATAAATCCAATAAAATCGGTTCCTGGATATTCTGGGCCCATTTAATCATACAATCTTTTATTAACTCTGTTTCCGAGTCCAGTTTTATTAACTCGTCATAAATTCTTTTAATATGAACATGATTCTGATCTTTAATCTGAATTACCAAATTTTCATCTCCCAATGTTATTCTAACTTTCTTATCTGGAGTCCACCTATCCACAATTTATATATATTGAATCCATGACTGTAAGATATTTTCTTGTCTTAGTACATCTAAAGATTTCAACTGCCAATCAGTACCTGACCAAATTAATAATTCCTTATACAAAATTTTATCAAAATTCATCCCCTTAGAAACTCCCTCAATTACATGTCCAGGAATCCCCCAAATAGGTATTTTATAATTTAACCTTTAATAATACTTCTGCCAAACTCGAAGAAAAGCATTTCTTAAAATATGTGATTTAAAAGCCTGATCTACTTTCTTATTAAAAATCAAATATGCATGCCAACCATACAATAAATCCCACCCTTCAAGAGAAAGGATATTTTTATTTGTTAAATTAAGCCAATCGCTTATCAGAGTTAAGGTGGCTACATCATAATATAATTTCAAATTAGGTGCTTTAAGCCCACCTCTTTCTCGGGCATCTTGCAAAATCTTAAACTTTACCCTTGGTTTTTTCCCAACCCAAATAAACTTATTAATACCCTTTTGCCACTCATCCAGGTTTGCATCTTTTTTTAAAATAGGTAACATTTGAAACAAAAAAAGAAACTTTGGTAGAACATTCATTTTTACTGCTGATATTCTCCCCAACAACGACAATTGCAACTTTTTCAAGTCATTTAAATCCTTTTGTACTTTTGCCCATAATAATTCATAATTATTCTTATATAATTTTCCAATAGAAGCTGTTATATATACTCCCAAATATTTAACCTTTTTCACCATCTGAAAACCTGTAAGTTTAACTAAAATTTCATTTTCCTTATTAGACATATTTTTAGATAGCATTTTAGTTTTATTATTATTTATTTTAAAACCAGAAACTTTCCCATACTGGGATATGAGTTCCAACAAATGACCAGCTATTTGAGTCGGTTGTACTAAAGTTAAAACCAAATCATCTGCAAAAGCTCTCAATTTATACTCATTCCTGTTTACTTTTATTCCCTTAATTACTGTTGACTCTCGAATTTGAATTAACAAAATCTCCATTGTTAAAACAAATAATAATGGGGATAATGGACATCCTTGTCTTGTTCCCTTTTCAATATTAAAAGTCTCTGTCAATCCCCCATTAATAATAATTTGAGCAGACTGTTGCTGATATATAGCCTTGATAGCATGTAAAAACTTATCTCCAAAATTCATTTTCTTTATCAATGAAAATAGAAATTTCCAATCTAATTGGTCAAAAGCTTTCTCAGCGTCTAAAAATATAAAGGCACAGGAATCTGATTATTCTTATCCAACTACTCTATTAAATTAAGAATTTGTCTTACATTATATTTCATATATCTTCCTGTTATAAATCCTGATTGGTCACAATGAATCAAGTCCTTCATTACCTGCATTAATCTATTGGCCAAAATTTTTGAAAAAATCCTATAATCTACATTTAAAAGAGATATAGGTCTATAATTCTTAGGCTCAGTAAGATCTTGATCCTCCTTCGGGATCAATGATATAAACGCCCTTCTCCAGGAAGGGGGAACTTGAGCTCCCAACAAAATACTATTAAAAAACTCCTTTAATGGCTCCATCATCTCCTCACATAAAATTTTATAATGCATTGTCATCAATCCATCTGTTCCAGGAGACTTTCCCACCTTTAACTGCTTGACAGCTAAACCAATTTCCTCTGAAGTAATTGAACAATTCATCACATTTTGTTGTTCATTAGAAAGTTTAGGAAAATGCACTAATTGTAAATACTTTTCTATTTCTGCAACATGTATATTATCACTAGCATATAATTTTGTATAAAAATCTAAAAAACTCTTTTTAATCAAATTATATTGAAAAACCTCAGTGCCTTTATATTTTACTTTCTCTATAATTCTTGCTTTCTGTTTTTTGCGTAATTGATAAGCTAACCACCTCCCAGACTTATTTGCATTACAAAAAGTATTATGTTTCATATAACGCAAATTTGTCGCTACCTGGTCTGCCATCAACATATTAAATTGTGCCCTAAGCATATTTATAGCAGCCTTTAACCTTTTATCCGTTGGATTCAAAACATAAGCCTCTTCTTTTAATTTAATCTCTTCTTCTAATTCTTTACATTTTTGTATCAATTTGCCCCTTCATATGAATAAAAATTCCCTCATGTAAGCTTTACTGGCATCCCACACCATAAGCATTGAAGTTCCCTTGTTCATATTTAAAATAAAAAAAATCCTTCAAATGTTCTTTACATTTTTGTACAAACTCCTCCCGAGTAAACAAATTCTCATTCAATCTCCAGGATCTTCTATTCCCATCTTCCACAAATGGCTCCAACCACACATGGCTATGATCCGACAATGTCCTAGGAAAAATCTTGACTTTCTTAACCCTAGAAAAAAGATCATTGGTAATTAAAATAAAGTCAATCCTTGAAAATAATTGATGTCTATCCGAGTAGAAAGTATAATCTCTGTCATTTATATTCCTTTCATGCCAAACATCAATGAGTTCCAGCTCATCTTTCATATCAAAAAAACCTTTAGGTAATTTAGATTGAGTAAAAGTTTTAAAAGTACCCTTTTTGTCCTTTCTTGAGTCCAAAACTCCGTTCCAATCTCCCATCATAATAGCAAACAACAAACTCTTGTTTAGTACATTATAAGTATTAAGTGTGAAATTTTGCATTTGTGTAATTTGTAACTTGTGTGACTGTGATAATGTCCCATATTTGAAATTGTGTTTAAACTTAGTTCCATTGCATGAAAAAAATAACAGTTTTTGTTTCCTCCACCACTACTGAAATAACTTCGTTAAAATGACAGTTTTGTTGTGATGGTTTTTTTCCTCAGCTCTGCCACAAACTTTATGAGGTGATAACTAAATTGGGAGAGCAGCATGCTGACAAGGCCTTCACAATCCTTGGAGCACCCAGGTAAAAATCTTTTATCAAACTGAAGCTAAATGTATAAATAATATGACCTGATTATTAGTCAGAATAAAATAAATCAGTGGATAGTAAACAATTTGTTTATTGAATATGTGTGTTCATCTTTTATATCAGTCCTTATCTGTGCATTAAAAGGACACTAGTTGTTAGAAATTCAATATAATTTTGTAAAAGTAAATTATGTGTTAAATGCTGGAATGAGGTTGGATGTTTACTAGAGACAATTAAGGAACCCATTCTTTGCAAGTTCCACTGTCACTGGTAATTTCCAATATATGTGCAATTCAGTATGCAGTTATCTGGATTTTTCAGTTCCCCAGATTTTGGCAGCTCAAAGGAACAAAAATAAATATAGAGCTATATATGTGTACTGTGTTTGGAGATAATTTATTAATAGTGCAATGTTTTCTGAAAAAATAATTGTAATATGCATATTGAAATGCAATTTTTCATATTCCTTTTTGTAAAAATATAAATGATGGAGTGCATTCAGCTGGGAAATGAGTGGAGCCTACAGACTGAGGGAGCATTCAGTTACTGCTTTCCTTCATTGAGGTTATATCTTCTCCTGATTGTGGTCTCTGATTTCCAAATGTGGGGTTTGTGCCTTGACAGAGAGGCTCCTAGAGTTTGGTGGGAATCACACAGCCCAAATACTATGTATGGCTCCTATCAACAGTAATTTCAGCAAATTTCCTTTAAGGTGTTCTTCTGTCTAAGTTATTCTGGCAATGGCGACTCAATCTTCCATCCTAATCCAGTATTATAATCTGGACTTTTTAGAGAGATACGGCTCCTAGAGGGATACTGCTCCTTTTTTTGATTTGATAGCAACCAGATATTCCTTAGGTATAAAACTCATTCATAATAAAAAAAGAACTAATTTCTTACTTGAGACTGCAGTTCTTGAGATGATCATTTTGTAATTCATGCAATCTACCCATCTAATTAAGACGGTAATTTTATAGTTCCCTCGGTTTGCTCAATTAGTCTTAAGAACTGAAAGATCTTGGTAAGAACTGTGGTTAGTCATATGATTACAGGGATGGGGGGTATCTAGGCTCTGATCAATATCAACTGTAGATTGGGAGGCCAGAAATCATCTGGAAAATGATACTTTGGTAAAGCTACCAAGAAAACTGGATGAATGTATTCATGAAATCACTAGGAATCAAAGCTGAATCAGAAGAAACTTGTCGTTACGGTCTGCATTAGACAAGATTCAAAAGGAATACAATGTATTCAAGGCAAAATGTGGTTATTGTAGGCGCTAGCTAGAGACAAGCTTTTATTTCCTCATTGAACCTTTGCTCTTAAACTTTTACTGAAACAATCTGAAACAATTTGTCCTTTCACATGTTATTTTATTTATTGGTATGCTGTGAGCATATCTAAAGTTAGACCAGTTTCATTGATATCATAACTTTAACTATTAGTAAATAGTTAATCCTTTTCCTTCCTTCTTCAAATTTTCAATTGGGAGGAGGAGGTGAATGTTTTCAAAAAACACAAAGGAAATTAATTAAAAAACGAAAAAGTTTTCTTAATCATTTCGTTTTCTATTTCTTTATATGTCTAAGTATGATATTATTAAATGATATAATGCATAACGAGCAGTAGAATACTTAAAAAGATTAAGGGCGTGGTCAAAATGAAACTATCTTGCAAATTTTCCCCCAAGAAAAGTGTTTGCAATAGTTTTATTAGACATATTGGGAATTCTACAAGATACATTCATTATGGATTTGTTTTGTGTCATGATTGGTTTGCTAAATGACAATGTATTGATGCTATTTAACTGGCTGCATCATGTTTCCTCAACCAAGATGGGTTGGTCTTCCTTTGATGCCTACCAGCATGACTATGGGGATTGTTCAGACTGGTTTGTGATTATGGGAAGCAAAGTCTATTCTATCAGCAGGCTAGGTGAAGAATGGCTTATATAAATCTTGATTGCCTGGAATTGGGAAACCATTCAAATATTTTTAACAAGAAAACAAAATTAAAGCAACATCTAATCATTGAAAGGCTTGAAGGTGAATGAGTTCAAAACTATATTGCACTTTCTGAAAGTACATCTCTTTTGCACCAGGCATATTTGCACAGGAAATATTTATAAATCCTATGAAGTCTCTTATAGGTGTAACTTCCTTCAAAATTAGAGACAAATAGAATAAGAAAAAAAGATAACGTTTCCTTCTTTCTTTTATTAAAACTTGCTCTTTATGTTTCTTCTTTTTCCATAGAAAGAGGTGGTGAGTGAACACCAAGGTTTTTTGTATTTTAAAAATGATATTGCTCTGCTTTAGTATAGAAAACATGATTGAAATTTGAACAATCATGTATTACTTTAGTGCTTCACAGAGATGTTGAAAACCACATTTCTTCTTATTGAGTGTGATGCTTTTAGAATACAATAGCTGCATGTACCATCAAAATGTAACATTAGTATTTTTATAAATTATAAATCTTAGGAGGTTTTAGATAGCAAAATGATACTTAAATGTTTGTCTCTTTAACAATGAAACTATAGTCCAGTGAAACTTTACTAATTAAGTGACTAACTCAATGGTTTTCATTTCCAAATATATTTCTTATTATTAGCTTAAAAGCCAAGGGCTGTAATGTGTGCTTCATAATGAAATGTATATTAAAAATAGGACATGAAATAGAAATGGTAATACGGAGACATATACAGAAATGATATTTTCTAATAAAATCTGGTGAGTGTTGATATTCAGAAGTGAAAGCAAGCAATGCTATATAATCAAAGATTATACTCAGAGATGTAATCTGAATGTTGATTCTTCAGGTCAGCTCATGAAAAATGAAAAAGTAGGTGTATCTTTGTAGATGTTCATAATATTAAGCTAGAACTGTACCAAGGATTCATGTTCACTTATTTTGTATAATATAGAAAAGTTGTCTAGTACAAACAAAGTTATTAAATCACTTGTCATAGATAATAAGGATTTTCAGAATTCGGGAGAACAAGGAGCCTAAAAAATCAAAATCTAAGCAAATATAGGATTGGTTTCTAGGATTTATTGTATTTTATAGATAACATAAATAAGTTAAATATTTTTATTTTCTTATGTAAGTGGAAATCTGTAGGTTTAGAAATGTCCCCAGATGTTCCTTGAGAATAAGTATATATATATTAACATTTTGCATTCCTCTAGCGATTCTGGTCCACTCCGCATTGCAAAAACTCCATCACCACCTGAAGAGGCTTCCCCACCACTTAGTCCTGAAGCGAATGCAAATCATACATTGGCAACCCCGAGTTCTCCAGCACCTGCACGCCCTAAATCTCCTTCACAGGTAACAATTCAGATAATATTTTGGCGCTGTATCTTTTTCAAATAAGCCTTTGCTTTGTCATATGTCCACCAAACATGATAATATGTGCCTGAGTTATGCTTACATTTCCAACATCTATCTGACATATTTTTAAATATTTTTGCTAATCTTGCTGGTGGCAAGTGCCATCTACAAAACATTTTATATAAATTTTCTTTATATGAAGTTGATATTGTCAATTTATAATTTATCTCCCATAGCTTTTGCCACTTTTCTAGTTCTATATTATAATCAAAGTTTTTCGCCCATCTTATCATTGTTTCTTTAACTTGTTCACTTTCCATTTCCAAAATTAACAAAAAATTATACATTTTCTTAATTAATTTCTCATCTGAGGTTAACAAAATCTTATCAAATACAGTTTGTTCTTTATAAAATCCATACAGTTTCACATCTTTTCATATCTATTTTGCATCTGTAAATGTGTCCACCACAACAAGTTGATACCCTGATTTTCCAGTTCTTGTTTAGCTTTTAAATTCCCATCAATATTTAGAATATCTCTATATGTCCAATTTTTTTTCAAAGTCTACCAAGTTTGGATGTACAAATGCTTCAATAGTTGATAATCCCCCTGGAATTTTTAAATATATTTTAGCTTTAATTTTTTTCCCCTACTATTAACAAAGCATTTCTTATATAGTGATTTTGAAAATACTTATGAACTCTATTTTTCCATAAAAAAGTGTGCCATCCCAATTGTAAATCATGCCCCTCCAAATATAACAACCTTTTATTTCTAAGAGTTATCCATTCTTTCACCCATGTTAAAACAGATGCTTGATAATACAAAGCCCACTCCAGTAACCCAAAACCTCAATTTTCCTTAGCATCTTGTAATGTTTTCATCTTAATTCTAGCTTTCTTTCCCTGCCAAACAAAATTCAAAATTAATGAGTTTAAGTCTTGGAAAAAAAAATTCTCAAGTTTTATGAGAATTGTTTAAAATAGAAATAGAATCTTCAGCAGTACATTCATTTTCACTGTAGCAATTCTTCCTAATATGACAATTACAGATTCTTCCATCGTTCCAAGTCCCGTTTTATTTGTTTCAATAATTTTATATAGTTATCTTCTTTTATTATTGAGCATTTGGCCAATAGCTGTATACCCAAATATTTAACCTTTTTCATTATCTGTACCTCTATTTTTTCTGACATTTTTTTTTGTTTATCTGTAAGATTCTTAACTATCTTAATTTTTTCTCTATTTATTTTTAACGCCGCCATTTCTCCATACTGTTCTATCTTTCCCCATAATTTAGGGATCATCTCCAAATGTTTTTCTAAGATAAATGCTAAATCATTAGCGAATGCTTGTAATTTATATGTTTCGCATTTTATCTCCAGTCCTTTAATTTCTGTATCTTGTCTAATATTTCTATTTAAAACTTCCAAGGTAAAAATGAATAACAGTGGGGATAATGGACATCCTTGCCTTGTGCCCGGAGACTGTACTGAGAGCTTTGAGATAAGAAAAGCTCTCAGTACAGTCTCCAATCACAATCTCTTTGGCTTTCTGTTTGTTATATATTGTTTTTATCATATTTATAAATTTCTGTTCAGAGTCCATAATTTGTAGTTGCTGAGTCATAAATTGCCAGGAAACATTGCCAAATGCCTTTTGGGCATCTAAAAATATTAGTGCCAATTGTTTCCCTGGGTGTAGTTCATAGTATTCTAATACGTCCATTATCACTTTTAAGTTGTTTTTAATTTGTCTCTTTGGTAAGAAACCGTTTTGATCTGGATGTATGAATTCAACTAAGTATTTTTTCGGTCTCTCTGCCATTATAGAAGTAAAAATTTTGTGATCTACATTAAGCAGTGAAATCGGTCTACAATTCTTAATCTGCGTCAAATCTGAATCTTCTTTTGGTATTAGAGTAATGTTTGCTTCCATCCATGTAGCCGGGAGTTTAGCCTGTAACAAAAGTCCATTACAAACATCTTTCAATGGTTCACTTAGTATGTCTTGTAGATTTTTATATAGCTCCACCGGAAGCCCATCTGGGCCTGGTATTTTCCCATTTTTTTGTCTTTTTATAGCCTCTGATATTTCCATTATTGTAATCCTTTCTTCTAACATAATTTTAAATGTCTCTGGAATTTTTAGGAGATTATTTTCTTCTAGATATTGAACAATTTTCTCTCTTGAAGTTTTCTCTTTATCGTACAGTTCCTTGTAGTATTCCTTAATTATCTTTTTTATTTCTTCATTTTTGAATTGTAAATAGCCTTTCCCATCTACTAAGTTGTGAATAATTTTCTTCTCCTTCTGTTTTTTAAGTTTATAAGCTAACCATCTTCCCGATTTATTGGCATTTTCAAAATATTCTGTTATGCTCTCTTTATCTGTTCTGCCATTTTTTTTTAATCCAACAGGTTTAATTTATGTTTTATTATTTCCATTTCTCTTTTCAAAGTCTTTTTCCGCGGATCTTTTTGTAATTCTGATTCTAACTTTCCAAATTTTTCTTTTAATAGTACATATTGCTGTCTTCTCTGTTTATTTTTCTTTGCCATATATGTTATAGGTATATCTCTAAAGTATGCTTTGGCTTTATCCCATAGATTTTGTAATGTTGTATCTTCTTCATTTTCTTTAAAGAAGAATTCCATTTCTTTTTTCGCTAACTCTATAAATTCTCTTTCTTTTAATATAGATTGATTTAAAGTCCATCTTGGTCTTTTTTGTATTTCTCTCCATGTCACTTTTAAAGGGTTATGGTTTGCCCAGGTGCCTATTTCTATCTCAATTTCCTGTATATTCATCCTCAATTCAGACATCATCCAAATCATATCAATTCTTGACCAGAATTTTTGGCTGTTTGAATAAAAGATATATTGTAAATTTTGTGGATTGATTTCCCTCCAGATGTCTTGTATTCCAATTTCCTCTGCCATATCAAAAAATGTCCTAGGTAATTTTCTTCTTCCGGTTTTTCCTATTTTGTTGCTTTTATAATCAGTTGTTCCATCTACTAACACATTAAAATCTCTTACTAGACAAATATTTTGGGTACTCCATTTCTATTATTTTTCTATGTAGGCTTTGATAAAATTCTTCTTGATTGTTGTTTGGTGCATAGATTGCCACTAACCATGTTTGCTTTTGGTGTAGATATATTTCTATCATTACAATTCTTCCTTCTTCATCTGAGAATACCAATTTAGAATCTATTGTCTCTTTAATGTATATAGCAACCCCTTTTTTTGGTGTGCTGATGCATAATAAAGTTTCTCAATTTTTGAATATTCCAATAATTTATGGTGCTGTTCTTTTATATGTGTCTCTTGCAAACAAATTGTTTCTATGTTCAATTTCTGTAATTTCCTGAAGATTTTGTTTCTTTTTTATGGAGAGTTTAGTCCATTTACATTCACTGAAACAATTCCATTTTCTTTCTCCATTTTCATTTCTATTATTTATATTTAGGTCTAGTTGATCTCGTAATCCTCTGTTCTCTGGCAGTTCCTTCACTTTCACCCTCTTGTTAATCTTTCTCTTTCTGTTCTCCTATTTGTGTGGTTGCTCCTTGGGTCATCTCTTCCATTTGCTTCTGTCCCTTACTCTCACTCCTTGCTTCGAAGTCCTCTGCTTTCCAGATTGAATCCAGTTGATATTTTGTGTTGTTCCAATTTATTAAAATGCCTTCCAGCATTAGCCTTTGGCAATCAGCTTTATGGTTAGGAAATGGTAGTTCTTCAAGTGTCTCTTACTCTCTTGGGTATCTACTTTAAAACCACAATTTCTTTATTTTTGTATTGTAATGGCTCATTTCTCACTTTTCTTAGTACTTCATCCCTTGTTGTTTTCTTTATAAACCTTACATGTACTTCTCTTGGTAGTCTGTTTTTCCTTGCATAGCTTGAATTCATGTGAAATATTTCATCAATCTCCATTTGGATCTCTACTCTATCTGCCTTCAGAGCCTCTGCCAGAAGGTCAATGATCACAACTGCTATGTTTTCTTCTCTATCCTCAGAGATATTTTGGAATCTCAAATAGTGTTCCACCTTCTCCATTTCCAGAATCTTAACTGCCTCCTCTAGATCTTTATTTGCTTGTTCTAATTTTTCATTTTCTTGTAATAACATTTCCATCTTTTTATCAATGTCCTCTGATTTATTTTCAATTTTCTGGATTCTTTGTTCATTTTTAATAATCATTTGGTTTTGAACTTCAAATTGTGCCTTTATATCTAGGATTTCTTTGCTTAATTTTTCAAAGGTACTTTGTGTCTTTTCATTATTTTTTTGCATCATCTCTTGAATCGGTTTTAGTGAGGCCTGCATTTCATTTTGGGCAGTGCTTATTTTCTCATGTTGCAACATTGTTTCAATAGATCCCTGGGTTGTTGGACTAAACTGTCCCACAGAGGGTGCAGAAGAAGTTTTCTTCATAAGTCTAGTAATGTTTGATGTACTCATTTTACAGCCCACAATCTTGAGCTAAAATCCAAAATGCAAAAGGAGCCAGCTATTTTAGGCCAAATCCACCTCCTCCAGTCAGGTCTTCTATATAAAGCATTCACTTTCTCCAAATAGTGTCTGTCTAGTTTTAGCCAAAGTCAACAAATATATCTATGAGAAGTCTTTTCCCTTGTAATTTCATGCCAAGGTACTTTGTTGTTTGCAGGTGTCTTTCAAGGTCATTGTTTTGGAAACACTTTTTTCTTTCTTTCTTTTTTTCCACTGTTTGTTGGTACTGTTGTTTCTTCTTTCGCCACTAGATGTCCGCCTATGCTCATTTATCAATATCTGATATTCTTTAAGGTGCTTTCCCCCTTTTGTAGTTACTCGCCGCCTTTAAATTAATTCTTCTGGGGGTCTTTGCTTTTCAGCTCTTCCCCATCAAGGGCTCAACATTTTATAGTCCACAAGGAGAATAAAAAAAGCTCTAGCTCAGCCAGTCTCAGCATGCTGTTGAGAATCAGCTGTTTTGCAGAGCTTTCCTTCTGGCTGGGGACGACTTGGGCTGCCTCGGCTCACCTGGCAGCCTTTCTTCTGCCCTTTCAGAGGGGTTCTTCAGTTTGCTCCAATCGACAGCTGCCTGATCTGAGCTCCTGGAGTGTCCCTCCTTCATTGCCCCTCCAGGGCAACTTTCCGACCCTTTAAGGGTAACTGGGCAAAGCGAAACTGGACTGGGAAGTCGGGGTGCCAGCTTCTTCCATCTGTCCCGTCGGCGACCAAACCGGAAGTTGGACTCCTCTTCACTCATGATTATTTTAAGAATCTTGACTCAGGCTCTCCTGAGATCAACAACATTTTAATAGCCAATGCTATATAGATTCACTTTGATTGCTAGCCATTATTTTTCTCACTTCTCAGAATAATTTTTCTTTTATGTCTTCCCATTTCTTCTTCCTTGCCAGCCCAACAGAGGCCACTTTTACCTATAGGAAATACTACTTATAGTAACATTACGAGAGCCAGTGCTATCTCTCATACGCTCAGTATGTACTTACCTAAATAGAATAATTGTAAAAATACTTAAAAGGAAATTTAACTAATGTTCAAAGATTTCATAATCCAAAAACTGATCTAGAAAATGTGTAAAAATTGTCCTGCTAAGGATTTCACCATTCCAGGATGGATAAAATATTAATGGCATGGTATCCATGGGGAAAAACACTCTGCAGCTATTCATCCCTATTCCACACTGTTGGGTGAGGTTCTGCTTTTTCCTTACCAATTGTAATATTAACTTCATGGAAGACTCACATTTGGTTTCCAGGAGATTTCTATCCCCGTGAGCAAATCACACCTGCAAGAAAGAGAAGAAAATACCAGCACAAAAAAGGATAGTTGACTCAAGGCTATATGGTGCCCACACTGACTGGTGGCATTTCCTTCTGTCATAGTTAAGATTTTCATTTTAAAAATGATTCAAAAGGAGGAGGAGCATGTGTAGCCTTAAGTTTTGGCACCCAGTGCCTGCTTGGCTTTCTGCTAAAGCCAGCCTTGCTTTGAAGATATAGTGCCAGAAGGGGATAGTCCTTCAACATGCCAGTAGGAATTCAGCAGATAGCTAACTCTTCCGTGTGCCATGAATTGTCCAGATGGGAAGCCCAATGGTGGCATAAGGAGTTTGATCCTGACTGGCTCAAGATTGACTCAACCTTCCATCCTTTCGAGGTTGGGAAAATGAGGACCCAAATTGTTGGGAAAATATGTTGACTTTGTAGACTTCCGGTTTGCCGACACAGCCACCATGGACATCTGGAAGGTGAGATCTGTCTTCTCCGTCCAGTTTTGAATCGCTGGGGGACCCTGGAAAGGGCCCTGTAGGGGCAACCAGCAAGGAGGGGATCTCCACTTAATTGTGGGACAGCAGTAGCCCTTCCGCTCGATCCAGGGCAATGCTCCAAACCAGTGGATGAAAGACCGACCATAGCAATATGGCTTGTCACTAGGCTGCAGACAGCCAAAGTCACACTTACCACCAGGCAACTATAAAGCAGACTGGGTGAGAACTACCTCTCTTAAATCCTAACTATTTTTTCCTGCATAAGCTGATTAAAGTACTTTCCCCCCTATGGAGAGGAAAGGGAGATTTTATCCCTCCCTCTAGAAACAGCAGCGAATGATTATCCAGGGAATTTAAAACATTGCAATAACAACCTGATCCTAAATTTGAATTTTATTTCTTAAAGTTTGTGGACTAAAAGATTTTCTATTCTTACTGAAGATCTGGGTAAGAAAAAGAAGCAAAATTGAAAAGATTATAAAAATATTGGATTCAAAAGAAAACTTTAAATTAGGGGCAACATCTTGTGGCTAAACCTGATATTACAATTTATTATTGCTTAAAAGAGATTTGGTAGACAACCCAGACAATAGATAAGACCTATGCAACCTTGAGACATTAGCTGTAAGAAGCCCAGCTGTGTTCCATACTCAGTGATAAAAAAAAATTTCCTGCATTTTTTTCCTGCATTCTCTGATTGTAAAGCTTTCAACCTAATACACTACTAAGAGAATATGGATGAAGATCAGGAACAGATTTTCTTTATGTTGAAAACAATTCATCAAACTATTCTAACAGCTACTGATGAAATAAGAGGTTACAGAAAAGAACAAGATGCCAGCCCAGAGATACGAACTCAAACTTTGATTACAACTAAAAAATTAACTACACAGAATATAACAGAAAAAGTGGAACAATTAAATATTATGACAGAAAACTCAACTGATCAACAAATACATTCAATGGAAAATCCAGAAAAGGGACTAATAATATGGAAAAGGGAAAAGACTTTCTACATAAATCAGAAGAAACCTGAGGATCAAGAAAAAGAATAGATTGAAGAAAAGATAAATAGTTCAGAACAACCACGGTGAGATGGAAAAATGGAGAGACAATTTGTTAGTCCTCTCAAAAAAATGGCAATCGGATGGGTTTTTCTACATCACACCTAAATGATATAGAAATTGCTAGTAAAAAATAATTATTACTGTGTTGTATACTTTTGATATATCATTTAATCTTTCAAACATACTTATTTTTCTTTCAGCTGAGGAAAGGGCCTCCTGTCCCACCACTGCCTAAACTCACACCAACGGCAGACATGCAACAAGAAAATATCATCAGTTTATTTGATGATAACTTTGTTCCAGAAATAAATGTGACAACTCCTTCACAGGTGAGTCAAGATTGAATGGTATCAATCTTCTTCAGTGTGTATTCAACTTGTACACATTGTTCATCCTGAACCAAAAGGCCTTGGCAATGTTGACTGGGAACCCTGGAAACATTTTTTTGAATGGAGATGATAAGAATGGTGTCAACCTCCAGCTCGAGTATCCAAATAAAAGTCCAGGATTATTTTCATTTCTGAAAAGCTTACTGGTTTGTTGAATATATGGCACATACAGGCTGGGAAACATGGTTCTAGTCACTGACAAAATATTTTCCATTAATTTGAAACTGTTTTATACATTTAGGGATGAAACCTCTAGATAATGCTCACAAAAACCTGGTGAAGTTTGGTAGTGAATCCCACAAACACTCTGGGTTTGGATAAGCATGACTAAATTTTGTTCAAGATTATCACTGGTTATGTAAATGTACATGATCCTTAGTCCTAACAGATTGTATTTATTTAAAGGAAAATACACACATGATGAAGTATTAACTGAATCTAAGCTTGGGGCTAATAAAATCATTCATGAATTCCTCACAAAATGGCTTGCATGAAACAATTGAAAGCTAATTCGGAAAAAGTTTGCTATCTTACCCATTTTCTATTATATCCATGGCAACTTTCTATATTCTGAATTGACTAATGCCACTGGATTCCAATCTCTTTCCTTATTATTTGCCCTGATGTATATTTTATGAGGTAAATTATTTGTACATTCCAATTAAACATGATGTTTAAAAGATGTTTATATTCCAACAGAATGAAGCTCCTGATGCTAAACAAGAAGAGTCTTTGTTAGATTTGGACTTTGATCCTTTCAAGCCTGATAATGCATCTACTGTGGTGGCCCATTCCCCAATGTCTCAGGTATTTTTAATGTGTGTGTGTGTGTGTGTGTGTGTGTGTGTGTGTGTGTGTGTGTGTGAGAGAGAGAGAGAGAGAGAGAGAGAGAGAGAGAGAGAGAGAGAGAGAGAGAGAGAGAGAGAGATTATGATACTATGTGTCCCATAATCAGAGTTGTTTTATACCACAATCCTGTGGGAACCTAGAAATGCAGTTTTAATTTATTAAAAGCAAGTTGTTGACTCTTACATTAAGGGTTATAAAGAAATGTAATAATTAAAAGGAAATTTTGATGTGGTTGGCTAATATAATTTGCAGTGATTGGTAATGGCTTAGGTCAGTGATGGCGAACCTTTTAGAGACCGAGTGCCCAAACTGCAACCCAAAACCCACTTATGCATCATCGGATGCCGGGTGGGTGTGGCCATTGGATGGGTGTGGCTGCGGTGGTAACAGAAGACAGGGTGGGACTAAAAAGTTCAATCAATCAATTCCAACTTTGCAAGATCTTTTTTTTTCCTGCGAGAAGTTGAAATTGACTGATTGATTGAACCATTTTTTTTTGTACACGGCGGTGGAGGCCTAAAGCAAAAAGGGTTTATAAAACCCAGCTGAATGCCTAGGACTGGGGCGACGGCGCACCTGCCCACAGAGAGGGCTCTGAGTGCTGCCTCTGATACCCGTGCCATAGGTTCGCCACCACTGGCTTAGTGATGTCTTGCAGAAGCAGACAAAATTATACAAAATAGGCTTAAAATCAATATGAAAAATGTGCAAAATTTTAGCCAGTTTACAAAATGTATGCTGATTACAGAATTCAGAATTTTTCTTAGTGTTTAGCAACATATATCTGAAATGAAGTGAATAAGAGAAAGTATTGAGTAATGTGAGGTTAGTCTCGATAAGAGCCAGAGTAAACATGTAGCTTTGATGCCACATAGGGCTGCATGTCTTATTTGGAAACATAACAGATTATTTAGTCAATCCAAGTTCCAGGTTTCCCAAAGCACTTCACTTTTATATTTTATTAATGGACAGCTAACATTTCCACCCTATAAGTGTTAAAAGAAGTCTTAACAAAACACCTGTCCTTAACAATAGGTTTAAATTAAATATTTGTTTCTGAAACCTGGAGCCACTGACATTTAAAAATGCACTATTGTACTTTGTTTCACAAATCATGTAAGAAAGTAGCCTTCTATAGGCTTGACCAAAGATCTGATTGTCTACTTACATCTGATATTTCAAAAAAAATGATTGCAAATTTTTCTCCTTATATTGTGTATATTTTGTGTAGGTGTGGATGTGGGCTTGTGCATCTGCATGCATGCATACCATCAGATCAGGTTTTGACTCCTGGGCACAAATCCCTGCAGTTTTCTTAGCAAAATTTCAGAAGTGGTTTGCCATTGTCTCCTTTCTAGAACTGAGAGAGAGTGATTGGCCCAAGGACATTGTGCCTAAGACCCGATTAGGACTTACAAGTTTCTAGTCTGATTCTGTAGCTACTATACCAGTTGCTCTCTACTCTATAATGCCAATTTTGCTAATGTAAATCAATGTAATAGAAAAGTTTGTAGAGAACTGAAACAAGATGTACCATTCGTATACATGAATGGTAATAGATTACAATTTCAAAAAGATTTTTTTTTTAAAAAAAAAAAAGTCACCTCTGCATATAAAAGCTTATATTGAATTATGATTTCCCACCTGGCCAGTAACTTTTTTATTTTTTATTTTTATTGATTTGAGATGTTATAGTTTACGTTTTGGTATAAAATGAAAGCAGAAAATAGCTTACAGAAAATTGAAAACTACAAAATCATCATAACATTATAAATCATTAAAAAGCAAGCATAGACCTAATAGGGAATCAAACTAAAAAAAGATTCAGTGCAATAAGATATCTTCCCTTTTAAAACCACCCATTTTTCTATTTCTATGTATCTGTATACTGAAGACCTTGAGGACCAAGAAGGACATAGGCAGTATGAGGTGTGCAAGGCTCAAGTCAATTAGCAAAGGCCTTCAAACCTGATGTATGGGACAGGGAGGAGAAACATTATAGTGCAATTTGAGCTGGCACTATAAATAAGCTGAAGCTTGTTATAGTAAATGGTCTGATACTGTCAAACCTCCCCTTACACTTGAGGACAATAAAGAAGTATCTGAGAGGTTTAAAGGCATCATGGCAGAATTAAAACAGGCCACAGTTATTAATACCTTCAATTTGCATATATAAATTGATTTTTAGTAAATGAAATTTTTCATATTATCCAGGAAAAGAATACTTTACCCTGACATGATCCCACATAGAAAGAGCTGTTAAATTTACTTCTTAAAAAGGTTGTTTTTATGATAGATGTTCTTGATTACATACACTGTGATTATCTTATACTCTGTGAGTATGCAGAGTACATATTAAAATATATTTAGAAATGAAACTGTGATAGAATTGAGAAACTAAAATTGAAGAATATGTGGCATTCACAGAAGTTTAAAAATTCAAGCAGGAATAGTTTCCTTAAATAAAACATATCATATAACAAGACAACCTAGGATAACTTAGACACTATTTTTGAAGAAAAAGAGAAAATATTTTTTTAAAATCTAAATGGCCCAAATAGAAATGAGCAATAATCACAGATGACCAAAGTATGATAGAAAATATTTAATTAGAGCTGGGGGGGGGGGGGAAAGAGAGGAGGAAGGAACGGGGTGGGGGTGGGGGGAGAGATTAAAATGCTTTTTTCTCACAATGTTTTTTTCTTTATCTTTTTTGTTTTTGTTTTAAACTTTTTTATAATCTATTTTTAGCCATCAGATTTTTATTTCAACTTTTGCTATATAGGCAATTCTCGACATAAAACCATTCATTTAGTGTCTGTTTGAAGTTACAACAGCACTGAAAAAAGTGACTTATAACCAGTTTTCACACTTAATGACTGTTGTGGCATCCCCATGATCACATGATCAAAATTGGGTTGCTTGGCATGTATTTCTGAGAGTTGCACCATATAATCTTCCTGGATGGTTTCCGACAAGCAAAGAAACCAGATTCACTTAACAATTGCATGATTTGCTTAATAATTGCAGTGATTTGCTTAATGACTGGGGCAGAAAGTTCATAAAATGGAGCAAAACTCACTTAACAACTGCCTTGTTTAGCCACAGAAATTTGGGGCTCAGTTATTGTCATAAGTCAAGGATTACCTGTAGCGTAAATTTCATTTTTTTATAACAAGTTTTTATTGGTTTTCCAGTTTTACACTTAAGTATTTGGAAAGCAGCGTGGTGATTGGGTAGTCAATAGTACAATAACAAAATCTTTAGTGCATATCTCAGGTTACATCATCAAAAAATTCCTTCTCTATTTCCCTTAACATTTACTATATCATATTTAAGCTAGTAGATTTCTAGTTGTAACAGGGTTAGTTAAATCATTCATCCTTATATTTTTGCTTATATATAATCCATATCCTGTATTTAAATTTTACCTAATTTTTAATTAAAATATTCCAATTTAACCTTTAACATCCATAGTATTTAAATTCCAGATAACCCAAATTTCCTTTATTTCACTCCATAAAAATTATAATAACTAAAATATACCTATTGCTTACTTGAATATATTTTTATTTTATTTCATAAACAGTTTCTATTTCTCAATCTAGTACATCACTACTTACTAATGGAATATCCTTCATTGTCACAAATCCATCATCTGTGCTGTCTGGGCAAAACAATGATTCAAAGCTATTCCCTAATAATTAGTTTTCATTTCCCTTATAGATCTAAATCCTCAATATTAGGCCGATTAATCCCTTTTTTTAATCATTTCCCAACAATAGTTAAATCTAATAATCGTATTTCTCTTCATCTCAGAAATTTGCTTTAGCCCGTCAGTTGAGACTTTAGGATGTTCTCTAATAAATCAAAAGACCCCATTTTTTAAATGTAACTCTCGCTTTCTTTTTATGCCAACCAGGCCTCCATACCAATGCCTCTAGTCTAGATCCTTAGATAGATCTCCCTTCTTTCTTGTATATGTTATTTGAACCAAGGGAAACCATCTAATTATCAATTTTCCAGAGGAATTGGCCCATTTATGGTCATTAAGTTGTTGCCCTGGTAGCCCAGATCCCCATATTTGCTCTAAGATATTTGTCTTCAATTCAATATGGTCTTGTTCCTCAGGTTTCTTCTGGTCTAGGTAAAAAGTCATGTCCAATTTTATGGTTGTTATTTGGTTGTCTAGATTTTCAGTAGGTTGTACTTGTTGATCTTTAGCACTCTCCATCTTGGTATTTCTTTCTTCTGCTTCTTTGTTTTTTGAGTTATAGGTTCTTTAGTTGCAGTCAGGATTTGGTTATCTGGATTTTCAATATGTTGTATTTGTTGATCTGTAAAGTCCTCTGTCTTAGTATTAATTTCTTCTGCTTCTATTGTTTTTTGAATTGTGAGTTCTTTTATTGTAGTCAGGGTTTTACTTTGTAGCTTTAAGCTGGCACCTTTGTCTTTCAGTCTAGCTTTAATTATCTCCATGGCTTCAAAACATTTTTCAAGTATAAGTTTATAGTTAAGTGAAGTTTGTCGCTGGTCCTCCTCCATTTCTGATGTAGTTATAGATAGTCCTTTAGTGAAGGCTATTTATAAAATGAAAGTCAGTAGGTATTCACCTCCACAGTCCTAAAGAGAAATTTCCCCACCCAATTGTTCTCTCAGCTTGTAATCTCTTTTAGATAATACCAAGGCCAGATCTGGGCTCTGAGCAGGTCTTTTTGTCAGGAATATTCACTTGCTGTACCAGGTTTTGCCACAAGATGTCCTTGATAACATTTACAAATTTTCAAGTCCCTGGCTAGGTTTTTATCCAGTTAGGTTTTTTCCTCTTTTTTAGGAGTAAATAGAGTAGCAAATCCCTGTAAAAATAGGAACTTTTTGGGTCCCAGAATATCAGACAGAAGCAAATCCAATTATTTAGTTAGTAGATCTTTTCAAGGCTTTATGTCCCCTAGGTAGTCAAAAGCCGCCATTTTAGAGGGTGGGAGGAAGACGTTCCCTTCCCTCTCTCCTCACAGGGGGAAGAAATTTCCAGAGGCTTTTTACAGGAAGAATACTTGGAGTGAAAGGAAGGTAGAATCTCACCCAATTCCTCCGCGGTGCTTTCAAAGTGCTTGTTAGTGATTTTGGCCTCGGCTGGTAGCAGCTTGGTGATGAGCCATAAATGGCTGATCTTTTCCCTGTCAGTTCGAAGAGTTGCTCAGGATCAAACAGGAGGGCTGCCGTCCTTCCACAGTTGCTCAGGAGTCCTCTTCATGCTCATCGCCCTCCAGGGTGACTTTTGAGCCTTTTCAGGGTCCCCCAGTGGGAGAAAACCAGACAGCAGAGGGAGCGATCACCCTGCACGTCCGCCAGAGGCATGATCGCAAACCAGAAGCCACGTAAATTTCATTTTATGTATGCCTGTGTATTCTTTTTCTTTTTTGTTTGTTGCTATTATTTTATTTTCTTAATTTTAAAAAAATGATTAAAAATAAGGAATGTGATTATTCAGTCAGGTACATTATGGCTATCAACAATGCTTTTGAGAGCTACTGGTTTGCCACAAGTGAGGGTTTAACAGTAAACCTCTTGGAGAATTATACTTTTAAGAGATAAAAGTTGGAATTCCTTTTCAGTGGATAAAACAAATATAAATGTTTGGAATATGGTGTGGAGTGGACTAGTATGCACCCAGATCCATTGCTCTAATCTATAACTACTTTTTTGCCAACTTTGGTTAAGCACATGTATAATCACATTATTATCTAATTATGCTTTACAGCACATAAAAAAGATGTACAAATGAGGTTTTGAACATTGTCCTTCTTTCCCCTTCTCAGACGCTACCCTGGGATCTGTGGACGGTATGGTTGGTTTTTATTTCTTTTTATCTTGTTCTTGTTTTGTATTTCAATGGTAACTTCAATGTGCAAAATATATCAATACAAAAAAGTTGACTAAATTTTGCAAGGCAAGTTATGGAAAGGAATAAGGAAGGAAGGAATACGTAACAGTTAAAGATTGCTTTCTGTACTCAGATTTTAATTTAATTTGAGAAATCTATGAGGACGCCTTCTGTATTTTTGTAGTAGCCTCAACATTTTGAAATTATCTTGCTTTAAGAAGAAATTAAATATGCCATGCAGGATTATTTAATAGAGGCAAAATAGTATTTGTTGATAATCTACAAATAATATTTACATCGCCCTCTTAAACTATAAATTATTCCACTAATATGTGATGACAAAATTTAAGAATATAAACTGCTTTAATGTTAAAGAGTTCTGAGTATTGTAATAATTTCTATGTAGATACTAATTTTAATACTGACAGAAATTATGCTGATATGGAAACTCTACGGTTTTTTGTTTTCTTTATTGTGAATTACAGAAAACAATTTAATGAATTCCACACTGATGGAAAGTTTATGTAGACTCTTTGGTTACATTAACGTTCATCCACAAATTACTGATACAGATAAATTTGTAAATGAACATTAAACAAATGTAATTCAAAAGAAGATCATGTTATTAAATTAATTGGTTTTATTGGTTAGAATAGTCTCTACCCAATGGAAACCATCTTTATCTGTATTTCAGACTGACCATGAAACAAAAACTTGAAACATTTTAATTACTTCCAGTTACATACACACACACACAGACACACACACACACACAGTCCCCAATCTTCAAATCTAGAAATAAAGCTGTGGTGGGATTCAGCCAGTTTGCACCACTTCAGCAGAACCAATAGCTAATTTTTTGTTGCCCAGGCCCAGAATGGACTTCCGGAAGCAGCATCCACACAGAGAATCAGTTGTTCACATATTTGAATCCCACCACTGCTTAAAAGTCATTTTATTGGTTGAACAGGCTGATGCTCATTATTCCTCCCTCTAACATGGACTGTGTCTTGGCTTTGCTGCTGCATTGTCTCAATTTGTAATACCTTCTTAGTGTTCTTTGAGCTTGATTGTTTCTTTACAAACATTTTGTTTCCCAGCTAAGTAGCATATTCAGTATAAAAAGGGAGACGGGTTTGCTCTATTTATATACAGTAGATTACTTTGTTAGTAATGGTGAAGGTTTTGCTTTCTGGTTGGTAGTTCCTTGTTTGGTCTGTTTTCTGTTTGATTGTTTGACTGACTTGATAGTTCCTCAATTAAGGTATTGTTTCCTGATTGATTGTTTGTCTGGGGTTAATCCTGGGTTTATCCTCTTATTGGGTGATTGATTGCTAGTAAGGCATGTTCTGGTCTTTTTGTTTCCTTTTTAACTTTTTTGAATCTTTTGACTAGTATGTAAATGTTGTTTATTTCTATGTGCCTGTTGCTGACTGATTTCTTTGAGTACTAAGTTTCTAGGAATTTCTGAGCATTTTTGGATTTGGATTGAGCTGGGATGATCCCAGTTTCCAAGTTGAAAATATGGTTAAATCTGTTCAAGTATTGTGAAATTAAGGCATTTTCATTGTGTCTTCTAACAGCTAGTTGGTGTTTATGGATGCACTCCAGGTCTTTTGGTTTATTTAACATGTTTCTTTTCAGTGAGATATCCTCTCCATTTTCTCTTATCTTTTTTCATATTTTCTTTCCTCACAGACCAATAATGAGATGGTTCAGCCGGTAAGTAGTTGCTTTTTTCAAATGTAGATTTCCCTTACAGATATTATAAATTGTATTAATTCCTTAATTTAGTCAGTTAATTTTGAGTTCTATATGTATTTTCTCCCTGAGACCATCTTTATCTTGCTCATCTTGTTTTTTTCTTTACTTTCCTACCTATTTAAAGCCTGATTCTCCAAAAAGTCTTTCCTTGTATAACCTGGTCATGGAGGAAAATCCAGACAGTGGGTCAGCAGAAGATCTTAACAAGTCCCAAACTGATTTAGGTTCACTCAATGTGGGCCTAGAGCCAGATTCCCTCAAGGAGGCAGCCAGTGAGGGCCAGGAAAGAACTGCTGATGGTCCCATGCCTTTTCTTCAGGCAGAGGAAATCTCAGCAGAATCATCTGTTATGCTAGCTACTCCTATTTTGCCTGCTGTAAGCGAGCATGAGGATGGGACATCATGGACAGCTTATGCAAATGAACATGAAGCCACTTTCTTAAGACTATGCCTGGAGATTAGTCATAGTGGAGACGATGGCACTGATCTGGTGGAGAGTAACCAGCTTTTAGTGAGTGAAACTTTGTCTGAGAAGTCTTCAGTGAAAATTGACAGCTTTTCGGATGCAGATTTGACAAAAGAGGCAAATCTGGGCTTAGAAGATTCTTTCTGGACAAATACGGACCCATGTGAAAAGGTAAACATCAGAGGTGCTAAACTCAAGGAGTTCAGTAAATCCTTCGATGAAATTGAATGTCTTAAGGCCTTAGGACAACCAGATAATGAAACTGTAAAAAAGACTAAGGTAGAAATTAGACAAGATTTAGAATGCACCAATGGGCAACGAGAAACTGATAGTTGTCCCCAGAAATTTGATATAGAATTTAATAGGGCTGATATGGTTAAGGAGATAGTTGAAAGAGATTTCAAGAATATGAGCAGCTTTACAGCTCTTGAACATAATAGACTTGAAATGGAGAATGCTTTGTGTTCACTGAATCAGGATCCTGAAGAAACATGTGAGGGTAAGAGGGCCATAAAATGCACACAGGAAAATGATATGACAAATATTACAGGAATGCCTAATCTCCAAGTCAAAGATAAATTTTCTACAGAGATTGGAAATCTTGGGTATGATTTTGAAGCAAAAGAGGCAGAAGAGCTTTGCAAAAAATATGAAGACTGTGGCCTCAATATCTCTCAAGAGAATAAAGATATTGAATGCCAAGTTACCTTTATATCCCTTGACAAGGATATGACTCTGCAGCATGGGTTTGAGAATCCAAGTAATGCATATTTCAGTAGTTCTGAGTTAGAGAATATGGAAGGTGAATTGGCAGATAGGGAAATGTTTTGTGTGTCTGAAGAAGCTAACTTTGGTTTACCCAAGGTGTTGGAGACAGAACCCTGGGATGACAGCTGGGATCCTACATTTAGTTCTGATTCTTTTTTCAGCCAGTCAAATAGCTATGATTCCTGTCCCTTTCCTCCCACACAAGACTCTCTAGATGAAAACATGGACAACCTATGGCCAGGTTTCATGCAAGATTTAGGAGAATTAAACAATAGCTGGGGGACTGCTTGTGTAATGACGAGTCAGCAGAATCAGGAAGCATCTTTACAGCAAGGATCATCTGGGAAAGAGACAAACATTAACACCTGTGGATCAAACAAGATAAGTAGCCCATTGATTCTGTTCCAAATGGGAAACTCTGGAAAGGCTAGCACTGGAAACTTCACTAGTCCCAAAGAAAATGAGACCAACAGCTCAGATTTATCTGAAGATGAAATTGCTAACCGGAGATATGGATTGTTATACCAAGAAAATGAGGCTGATAAAGAAGAGGTACCTACCATATTATATAGTATAGTTTAGAAAAGAAAGATTCCCTAGGAGGTGATATTTACCTTTATTTAACCTTGTATTTTATGAATAGTCCTTATATTTCCTTTGCTAATCTGTGTAGTCATGCATTCATGGCATAATTCAACTATGTAATTATGCTAGGTTGACCACAAAGAAATTGACTGTTGAATATGCCATCTTATTTTATACTACATCTTGTTTTGAAATGTTGCTTTTAGATAGTTTATGTTGCTGGCATCTTTTCCAATTATCAATGTGTTTCATTGTGCTTTCTTTTTATTTTTTATTTTATTGTCATTCTTTCCCTTCACTTTAAAAGATGTTTATGTTTGGGCCATGTACAAACAAGACTTTGATATTAAAATATGTCCTTCTAATTTGGCCTAGGCATCAAGCAATGCTTTTAATGGATTTGCACAGGTAAGGAGTAACTTTATTTTATTTATATATCTATTTATCTAAAATATTTTTATAGCCACCCATCTTAAAACACATCTCTGGGAGCTCAGAACAACAATAAAACCCTAGATCCATTTTTAAAAAAATAAAACAAAAATTTATCACCTCAGTGATTGCCTTTGGATGCCTCAACAAACAACCTAAGGCATCCTTACTCTATCCCAGAGTAAAAAGTCAGGTCTTGATGGCCTCCCAGAAGACTAAAAGGGTTGGGGCCTCCTGGAAAGAGGGTGCACTATAAAGTAGGGGAAGCCATGGAAAAGCACCTTTGAGAAGTCCTCATAGATAGCAATATTTCAGGGAACACAACTGGAGCATGCTTATCCTATTTTATCCAGCAGATACTGTCAGGGACAAGCCATCTCACAAATAGTTCCGGTGCCATGTAGGGCTGTAAAAGTGATATCAGAGTCTTTAATTTCTCCTGGAAGGAAATTGCTTGGGCAACACAGGTGTAACATAGGCAAATCTTGAAGCACCCAGCACTATGTGTGCCCATGTTCTGGACCAATTGCAACTCTTGGGTAGTCGTCAAGGGCAGCCCCGTGTAAATATATTGGAGTAGCACAAACAGGAAATGACTAAGATATAAGTAACAGTGAGTAAGGCTTCCCAATCCATGAAAGGATACAATTTGCACTCAAGATGAATCTATGCATAGCTGCCAATTGCTAATTGAGCAGGATCCATGAGTCCAGGAGGACCTCAACTGCACAGACGTTCAACCAAGAAAGTGCTACCTTATCAGAGTAAAACATGAATATCACCAAACCCTGGGGAAGGGGGGGAACCAAAAACATTCTATCTTATTAGGGTTGATGTTAGTTTTTCCTTATCCAGACAGACTCTAGCACTGCAATAGAATCCTTTGCCCTAGCAGGAATGAAGATATGTATCCTGTGCCATCAAATGACCTCATTGAGCAATTTCATGTAAATGTTAAGGAGGAGAGGTGAGAGACCTCTGAGGCACCCGCAGTGGAGGGCCTGATCTCTCCCCATAATACTGACCGGAGCCAGCTGTAGAGAAAGGAGAACACTGCAAAACAGTGCCTCTCACTGCCAGCCCCCAAAGCCTGTCTAGAAGGACAGCATGATTGATGATATTGGAACTTTTGAGAGATCCAAAAGTAGAATAGTTCCATCACTTTCATCCTGAGCCCGCAAAGGTCATCAGCAAGCATGACATGCTGTATCAATACTGTACACCAGCCTGTACCTACAATAAAAAGACTACAGATAAACCATTTCATTCAAAATGCTTTGAAACTGAGCACCAATGACTTTGTCAACAAATTCCCCCCCCCCCAAGGGAGATTGGACTGGATGAAAGCTGTCTCATACAATTGGGTCCAAAGATGGCCTCCTGAGAAAGAAGCATAGTACTGCCTCTTCAAGGCAGGTTGCATCACCTTCTCCCACAAAGGAGCATAAACCACCCCTTGGACCCAATGACATGCCACTTCCCAGAAGGACGTAGCTGACCAGCAAAGGCATGAGTCCAGTAGAGAGATGGCTGAATTCAACCCCAATTACAAGGACCCTGCTCACTTCCTCAGAGTGAACCAGTTCAATTCTTCTCAGAAAAACGGATTCAGTCATATCTCAATCACTTCCAAAGGATCTTCCCAGCTAGAGTCCAACACTGAGCAACTTTGTCTTACAGATGTCAAGAATATTTCTCACAGTGGTCCTACAAGAGCAGCCCCAGCTCTTCTTTATCCCATCACACCTGGTCACCCAAAACTAGGCCAGTGGGTATCTATCTGCAGATGCAATAAGGTGTTTTATTTGAGACAGAATTTTAAAATTACCAAAGGCCATTGCTTGAGTGTGGTACAGTAAAGCAGATTTTCTGATCTGGAGCCCACACAGACATATTGAACTACATTCTATCACCCCCCAGCAAATGGGATCTAGAGATGAGGGAGTTGTAAGCCAACTTCACCAGAAGGCAGTGGGTTATAAAATACATAATATAATGGCAAATTCAATAGAATACTTCACATCTAGATATCAGTAATTCATTAGATTTAGAGGTGTATGGGTTTTGGATCTAAAGTAGGCTCCCTTACTGCACCTGTTAGGAATTCATTAAGGCCCTGCCTTTCCTGGACTTGTACAACAGTCTCAAAAAATGCTATCTGGGTTAAAAAACAGTAGAGAAGTAATAGTGGTCTGCCTTCATGCCACTGTCTCAAATATTTATTGCCCTAAGTCTGTGTGGCTGCCATACTGATCCAGGAAAAGATACCAGTTCTTTAAGAAGTCAGAATCATTTCAAATGCTCACATCAAATCCAAATATTACATACCTCTAAAATTTAAATTTTTTAAAAAAAATTTGCTTTAAATTTGCTTCCATAAAAACACTGGAAATACATATATTTAATGTGTCCCCCCCTATTTAACACTATTATTCTTTGTTAAATTAATGTGCATTAGTTGGCCATCACAGCCAAGCTGAGAGGTATTGTGGAGCTTGGTGTTTTGTTAAACAAGACCATCTTGTTGCCTTACATCTTTAAACTTAAGGCCTCCAAATTGCACTACATTAGATTCCAAATCTTAGCTAAGATGGTGTATCAGGTTATACAAACCAGTCAGCTATTATTGCCCATAATGTTATTCATAAAATTAACAAAAACTGCAGTTTGATTAAAGATACTCAGCCTAGGATCATATGAAGACTCTACAAATAATTTTTGACTTATGACCATAATTGAGCCTGGAATTACAGTTATAAATTGTGCCAATCATTAAGTAAGTGGCCACATGACCATGCCTACTTGTACAACTTTTTTTGTAGCAGTCAGTTTATTTCTAGAGGGAATGTTTTTGCAAATCTCAGCCCCCAGATTTCATACTAGAAGCCTGCTAAACTCACCAAGAACCATAAAAAAATGATGTCAGTTATCAAATGCTGGGAAAATATTAAATTAAATAAGAAGACAAAATTAGAATTGTATGTTTTGGGGAATAGTTTTGTCATAGTTTTTGTACATAATTTTTAGTAGGTTTTTAAATGCTGTTGCTTAAATAATCTTCTGTTCCCAGGACACCTCCCTGTTTTCAATGCAGCCAACTCAGGATGTTATAGATAGTATGGTAAGTTGTTGCTTTTTGTATCAACTTGTATTAAACTCACTTTTTAATCATATTTGGAAATAGCCATCTTAAAGTTATTGGAGACTTTCAGAACAAGAAGTTTGAAAAATGTTCATAGGATGTGTTCAACAAAGAAAATTAATTTTAAGCCTAATAGCTTAAAGTATTTAGTAAAAAGCTAAATAAAATTTTAATCTAAGAAAAGTTATAAGTGGGTTAAAGGTCCAGATAAATTTGGAATATTTACTTTTATTGTGAAATTCTGGCTATCCTGGGTAATAACAAAGAGAAGTGATAATTTTAGAAACTTGCTACTAGAGGAGACTAAAGATTCTAAACAGAAGGAAAAAAAATACAAGCCTGTTCTTAATGTCAGTTAATATTGGGACTTACAAAATGACACATAATATGATAACAGTAATATTAAAGAAAATATTTGAAGAATAGACCCAGAAGTTAGTAACTACAATACCAGTAATTCCAGCAATAATGTCTGCTTTTATGGATAGACTATGTCTAAAAGATGTCAGTGAAGGAATGACAGATATGGAACACATTTTATCTGACAAGACAATACTGAAACTACAAATGAATGCCAAAAGAATCGTTTGGAAAAGAATATCCAAATGAAACCTGGTAAAAGTTTAAAAATATAAATTAAAAAGGCAACCATAAATGATAAACCAAGAAAATAATCTGGAAAATGTTTTGTTATTGTATCTACAAAAAAGGCTTATTAAAACCTTGAATAAATCTGTATGATGGGATGAAGAAGAATTGAAGAGATATCAAACCCTTTATGAATTTTTGGCTGACATTTGAAGTGAAAAGTTTATGTTTATGAATTTGCTTATAAATGAGGAATGAGATATGAAATTAAGAGGTATCTCTTTGTAACTGTATAGGAAATGAAGAATTATTAAATTTGTTTATACTTGTTGTGATGAGGTTGAAAGTCACTTCTTTTTACAGATAGTCCTTGATATATGACCAGTTACTTAACTGCTGTTTAAAGTTATGATAAACACTCCCCCCAATCTACATATAACCCCATTTTTATATAATAATTTCTGTAGTAGTATTTTTGAAAAAAAAACACAAAGGAATGGCACTAAAAACAAATTTGAATACAAATAAAGCTGTTATTAGGGTCTATTTTGTATAATACTGTAGTAAACAGGAAAAAGGCACAAGAGAAAACATCTGCAATTAAAGCAATTGTCATCAAAGACTTGAATTTCATGTCAAATTAAACTCCTACAGCAATAGTTATCTATCTAAGTAAAAGAAATGGAACATAAACTGAATTATGCCAAATAAAAGAATTTTGAATTTATAAATAAACCAGGGAAATGGTTGGCTGAAGCTCAAAGAACGAGATATGGTTTATCAAATAATGTGGCTATTCAAAATTTTTTCCATCAGTACTACCATATTTCTATAAAATATATTTCCCTGGGAAAAAAACTGTTCCATCAAAAAACAAAATTTCCTATGATTCATAGACATACAAAACAGATTGCAATAATACTGGATAAATAGATTGAAAATAATTTTACAAGATTTATTTATTAAGACCATCATGGATTTTTACCTAAATGACAACTAAAAGTTAACGTAAAAACAGCTTTTGGCATTGTAGAGTATTTGGAACAGCATAATGAAAAACAAGTTGCATTAATCTTTTTAGATGCAGAGAATGTTGGTTATCCCTTTTTGCTTACAGTTCTAGAAGCTCTCAATTTGCAAGAGAACTTTTTAAATTGAGATAAATTGATAAATGTTACAGAAATCACAAATTATTGTAAATAGAAATTTAACAACACTGTGTATGATCTCCCCAAAAGATCCCACAAGGATTCCCACTATTCCCAATTTTGTTTATATTGATTTTAGGATTAATAAACAAAAAACCAAAGATACTAACAAAAACATCATGATATAGGATCAATTAGAATCAATGTTAAAATGGGTTTCAGGATTGAGATAAAAATAAAATATTTTGGTGTTAACTTAATAAATATGAACTGTATGTTTTTCAGAATACTGGAATTAAGTTATGATATTTGAATAACCAATGTGTTACCAAATTATTACTCTCTTGCCAAAACCTATATGACTATGGAACTGCATCTGGCAATAGAATTTCTGGTTATTCAGGTGCACATCCAAGTGGATGCTGATATGGGCTCATTGCCCCATGATTGGGAGTGATATCCAACTGTAGTTTCCAGATGTCCATCAAGAGGATTGGCTAAGACTGAACCTCTTTGCAACCTGGGCCATCAACTGTTTTCTTCTATTTCAGTGGAGACAGTAAATGTCTTCCAATTTCTATGTTTCCTCATCATTCTATATTTATTTTCATTGTTTCTACTGCTCATCATTGTTTTGATAATTACCAATGTGGATGGCCTTCTAATTCTTCCGGGTAGCTCTGCCACTTAATCCTGGATTTCTGTTCCTTTTTCTTTGAGCCCAAGAACTTCATCATGTTTCATTTTGGCCAGATCATCTCATGATATATTGGAAGAAATCCAGCATCTTAATTTCTAAACACATCATTTGGAGAATCTATCAGAGGGTAAATTGTCTGAAATATTGCAACCAAAATGTTCTGTCCTGAAGATGAATAATTGTAAATGGTGTAGAATTTTTGATTTTACTTCAGCAAGAAATGTAGATTTTCATGAATATGCCATCTACATATATGGAGTTTTGAATTTCCCTTATCTGTTTGACTTTTTGGATTTATTTAGCAATAATTTATTTTGTTCATTTTTTCATTGAAATAGCTTCACATTTTTCTCAGCTGCTGATTTTTTTTAAAGAGATGGTTGAATGTATCCCTAGTCTTGTGTCAGCCTTCTGTGAGGTCTTTGCCTTGACTATAGTACTTCAAAAGCTGTTGAGCTTACCCATTAAACTTGTAGTCAAGAAACATTGCTTCTTTATTTGTAAACACATTAAACTGCTATTCTAGTGAGCATTGTGCTCCACTGAACTTTATTTAATTTTTGTTTTAATCTAAGAATACTGTATTATCTAACATAACTGTATTATGTTTCCTAGTGTTTCACAGAGAAAAAATATTTTATTTGGGCCCTACTGCACAATTTCATAAACATCCTTATTTTTTATATGCTTTCAGGACCCTTGCAATGACTAATCAGTATTATCCCAGCAGTTGTTAACGTTCAGAGTAGCCATTAAGTTCTTCTACAAAACCCTGCCCACTTCTATTCCAGAACATCTGACAAGGCAGTTATACTAATACGAAAGTACCTGTTAAGTCACTACCATCAATATTCACTACTTTCTAGTGTTTACAGCACTCCTGAAAATCATTTATCTCTTTTTCAGAAATTGGGCAACTGCTTTGTACATTCTCATGTCCTCCAACACTGCATTGTTTTGGATTTGAAGGAAAAAACACACTCATTTTCAATTACACTGTAGTTGTCTCTCCTTTCAAATAGGAAATAGAAATACTAGAACTCTATTGATAAAAATAGATAAAATCTATATCAAATAGAATTAAGGTGGAGCAATATAAAGTTCTCCTTCATGGATTACTTCCTTATTGTTGCGTAACTCAATGAAGCTATGAGCTATGCCGTGAAGGGCCACCCAAGACAGACAGGTCATAGCAGAGAGTTCTGACAAAATGTGATCCACTGGAGAAAGAAATGGCAACCCACTCCAGTATCTTTGCCACAAAAACCCCATGGACAGTACCAAAAGGCAAAAAGATATGATGCTTGAAGATGAGCCCCTCAGGTCAGAAGGTGTCCAATATGCTACTGGGAAAGAGCAGAGGGCTAGTACTAGTAGCGCCAGAAAGAGTGAAGCGACTGGGACAAAGCCGAACAGACATTCAGCTATGGATGCATCTGGTGGTGAAAGGAAAGTTCGATGCTGTAAAGATCTTTTCTCCATAGTAACCTGGAATGTAAGATCCATGAACCAAGGCAAACTGGACATGTCAAACAAGAGATGACAAGACTGAACATCGACATCTTAGGAATCAGTGAACTAAAATGGACAGGAATGGGTGAATTTAATTCAGAGGACCATCAGGTATACCACTGCAGGCAAGAATCCCTCAGAAGAAATAGAGTAGCCTTCATAGTCAATAAAAGAATAGGAAAAGCAATACTGGGATACAATCCCCCAAATGACAGAATGATCAGTGCGAATCCAAGGCAAACCATTCAATATCACAGTAGTCCAAATCTATGCCCCAACCACTGGTGCTGAAGAGGATGAAATTGACTGGTTCTGTGAAGCCCTACAGCACCTTATAGAATCATACCAAAAAATGATGTCCTTATCATCATGGGGGGTTGGAATGCTAAAGTAGGAAACCAGAAGATAATTGGAATAACAGGCAAGTTTGGCCTTGGAGTACAAAATGAAGCAGGGCACAGGGTGATAGAATTTTATCAAGAGAATATGATGGTCATAGCAAACACTCTTTCCCAATAACCTAAGAGACGGCTCTATACATGGACATCACCAGATGGTCAACACAGAAATCAGATTGACCATGTGCTCTGCAGCCAAAGATGGAGAAGCTCTATACAGTCAGTAAAAACAAGACTAGGAGCTGACTGTGGCTCAGATCATGAGCTTCTTGTTGCAAAATTTAGGCTTAAATTGAAGAAAGTAGGGAAAAACACTAGACCATTCAGCTATGAACTAAATCATATCCCTGATGAATATACAGTAGAGGTGACAAATAGATTTAAGGAATTAGATCTGATAGAGTACCTGAAGAACTATGGATGGAGGTTCGCAACATTGTACAAGAGATAACAACTAAAACCATCCCAAAGAAAAAGAAATGCAAGAAAGCAAGATGGCTGTCTGAGGAAGCTTTGCAAATAGCTGAGGAAAGAAGGGAAGTGAAAGGCAAGGGAGAAAGAGAAAGATATACCCAATTGAATGCAGAATTCCAGAGAATAGCTAGAAGCGATAAGAATGCCCTCTTAAATAAAGTGCAAAGAAATAAAAGAGAATAGAATAGGGAGAACCAGAGATCTCTTGAAGAAAATTGGAGATATGAAGGGAACATTTCATGCAAAGATGGGCATGATAAAGGATCAAAATGCAGGGACCTAAGAGAGGCAGAAGAGATTAGGAAGAGGTGGCAAAATTATACAGAAGAACTATACAAGAACGAGCTTAATGTCCCTGATAACCACGATGGGGTGGTCACTGACCTTGAGCCAGACATCCTAGAATGTGAAGTGAAATGGGCCTTAGGAAAGCTGAGCAACAACAAAGCTAGTGGAGGTGACAGTATTCCAGCTGAGCTATTCAAAATCTTAAAAGACAATGCAGTAAAAGTACTACACTCAATTTGCTGACAAATTTGGAAAACTCAACAGTGGCCACAGGATTGGAAAAGGTCAGTTTACATTCCAATTCCAAAGAAAAGCAATGCCAAAGAATGTTCAAACTATTGCACCATTGCACCTATTTCACATGCAATTAAAGTTATGCTTAAAATCCTACAAGCTAAGACTCCAGCAGTATGTGGATCAAGAACTTCCAGAAGTACAGGCAGGATTTCAAAGAGGCAGAGGAACTAGAGATCAAATTGCCAACATACGCTGGATCATGGAGAAAGCTAGGAAGTTCCACAAAAACATCTACTTCTACTTCATTGACTATGCTAAAGCCTTTGATTGTGTGGATCACAACAAATTTTGGCAAGTTCTTAAAGAGATGGGAGTACCAGACCATCTTATTTGTCTCTTGAGAAACCTATATGCGGGTCAAGAAGCAACAGTGAGAACTGAACACAGAACCACTGATTGGTTCAAAATTGGGAAAGGAGTCCGACAAGGCTGTATTCTGTCACCCTGCCTATTTAACTTATATACACAGCACATCATGAGAAAGGCAGGGCTAGATGAATCAAAAGTTGGAATTAAGATTGCCGGGAGAAATATCAACAACCAAGATATGCAGATGATACCACTCTAATGGCAGAAAGTGAAGAGGAACTAAAGAGCCTCTTGATGCAGGTGAAGAAGGAGAGTGCAAAAGTTGGCTTGAAACTCAACATTAAGAAAACCAAGATCATGACGTCTGGCCCTCTCAATTCCTGGCAAATAGATGGGCAAGAAATGGAGATAGTGACAGATTTTATCTTCATGGGCTCCAAGATCACAACAGATGGGGACTGCAGCCAAGAAATTAAAAGATGCTTGCTCCTGGGAAGGAAAGCTATGGCAAATCTATACAGCAAACTAACAAGCACCCTGCCAACAAAAGTACGTATAGTCAAGACCATGGTTTTCCCAGTTGCAAGTGTATGGCTGTGAAAGTTGGATCATAAGAAAGGCTGAGCGCAAAAGAATTGAGGTCTTTGAATTATGATGCTGGAGAAGACTCCTGCGAGTCCCCTGACTGCAAGACGATCAAATCAGTCAGTCCTAGAGATCAACCCTGACTGCTCTTTAGAAGTCCAGATCCTGAAGTTGAAACTCAAGTACTTTGGTCACCTAATGAGAAGGACTCACTGGAGAAGAGCCTAATGCTAGTAAAGATTGAGGGCAATAGAAGAAGGGGACAACAGAGAATGAGGTGGTGGATGGAGTCACTGAAGCAGTAGGCATGAGCTTAAACTGACTCCAGAAGATGGTAGAGGACAAAAAGGCCTGGAGGAACTTTGTCCATGGGGTTGCGATGGGTCGGACATGACTTTGCAACAACAATATAAAGTTTCTTTCTTACAATTTTCTGTTTTCTAGGCTTAGCTCATATTTCATTAACTGTTCTGTAGTTTCTTCAGCACTATCTCTGTATTTGATTATTAGAACAGAACATGATGATCAGCACTGCAACTGTATTTGATTATTCCAGGTTTAGGATTCAGCAGAGTGTGTGAATCCAGACATTAAGCTTTATCTATCTGCTTTTCCTTATTAAAGGCTGAAGCAGAAGCTTTACCTTTGGAAATTCAGGCAGAGGAAGACATCAATATGGCTGCCTCTGATACCAAGCCAGAAGGACAGGCTCTGGAGGCTGATAAGTCCACAGCTGAAACTATGGTGAGTAATTGGCACTCTATGTATCGTCATGCTAATCCATGTAGTTGTGTTCATTTATTTACCCTTCACATTTCATCTACTTGGTTCACTGTCATATTCTGAAATGATTTTAGAATTGATTATCACTAATTATTATAGATACAACTAGTAGGGGAATTCTTCACTTGGGTGTTTACTGTTTGATGAGAGGATTGGACCTGTCCCACCAAGACCAATGTTCAAATCTCATACTAAGCATCAGGGGCATTGGGTAGGGTAAAGAAGTCAGGATGGTGGGCAAAACCACATAATCAAACCCACTTGTTTATAAAGGTGTGTAAAGTTTTTCTTTTATTTTTGTTTTATACTTTATAATTGCTGGGATTTATAACAGCTCTGAAAGGCAAATGGAAACCTTAATATTATTTGCAACTTACTATATGAACAGCAACTCTGAGAATTAAAAGAAATGATATTTTTCTTGCATTCCCATAAATCATCAAAATCATTTCACAATATGAAATCTCCTTTGTTTCCTACTTTGCTCACTATTCTTTTGTTTTTAATCCATAGCATGTTGCAATTCAACATCAATTGCTTATGATAACTGCATAGGATATCTCCTTATTTGCATGTCATATAAGCAGAGTTGGTTGTGGTTAATATTTAAATCACCAGGAAATACCAGGATTGTAGGATAAATTGAAATGTGTATATATGTGTAAATAAATGAATCAATAAATCTCCAGAAGACTGTCTAGCAAATCATATCTGTAGTGTTGCAAAGAAGAAATATATGCTATAGCTTCCAGCAACTGGCACTGAGAGGCATCCTCTTCGTATACTGATGGCAAAAGACATATCTTCATTGAAAATCATAGGCAAACCTTTCTCTCATGATTTTGTCTGCACTTTCTTTTAAAAGCTCTTTTATTTATTATAGAATTGGATATATTAAAAATGATCTATGTGAATAACAAAGAGTTTTACCTTTCTTATTAGTTGCAGATGGACTCAGTAATTGAAAATCCTACTGAAACGGAGTGTGTTGATGCCACTTCTACAAATGAAGGTGTTGAAGTTGCTGTTATTGATGAAATAGAAGTTACTGAAAGCAACATAAATTACATTGAAGAAAAAGCAGAAGACATCCAGGTACTATCAAAGGACAAACCTTTTTCCCTCTTTTCCCTTCCAGCATGATTTTGAAAATTTACCGTTTTAACTCTACCACAAATCCCTAAGTTTGATCATGGCCTACCTCAAGAATTCTGGGAACTATTGAGTGAGGTATTGAGAATTGAGGTATTGAGAATTCTCTTTGACATTCCTCCGTAGTCACTCCAATAGTTTTAGAATAATTATGTAATTAGGACTGTTAAACTCTAGCATGAATTTATGCATGATGGTGTAATAATGTGTTTTAAAACTGAAGGTTTTAAAAAATTAAATCAGCTAATAATAGTTTATAGCCTGTATTATTTTAAATTGTGTTGCCTAGATTTCAGAATATTTTTCAAGCCCAACATGACACACATTTTAGCAAGGTAACAAAAATTCTTTAGGGCCATTTTTTTTTTTAAAAAAAATCAATAGTATAAGGTAACAAGTCTATAAGGTAAAAGTAATTTCAGATTAATTTACAATAACGCTTCTATCTATAATAATTGTGATATAAATGTGTTTCAGAAATATTACTTTAAAAATCCTGTGTTAAGAACCAAAATTTTAATATTACTGTTCTATCTATTATATTTCCATTCACATTCTAACAAAATCTTCAAAGCAGCAAACATAATGTACTATTTAAAACTGTTAATTAATAATCTTATTTCATACAGTTGAAATCTTTGTATTAGCCAAAATTATAATATTAAATACACTTTTCTATTAAGCAGATATGTGGGGATTCAGCCCCATACTAGTAAAATCCTGTGAGTCCTATATTATTAGATCTCATCTTTATTATACAAAACTGAGTATTTGTAATAGGTAGGAATGACCTTGTGAGTCAGGAAAAAAACCCTGCAGCTTAGACAATAAACTAATAAATGTAATTGGAGCCTGAGGTTTTTAGGATAGTAAAAGTGAAGGGGTACTTTTAGACTTGAAAGAGTCTGTTAATGTAATCTTACAACCGTACAATAAATATGGACCTGGTACTTCTGGTTATGTTTCTTGCCTAGACTACCTCGCAAGGCTAATATCAATCTTGCAAGAATCAAAGTATTTGTTGGCCTTGCAAGATAAGATAGAAATCAGAACCAGATGAGTTAATTCTATTTATTGAAAAACTACATTGACAGAACCTTGCAAGCACCGAAGTACAATTCTCTCTCCCACCCCCCCATCCCGCTGTATCTTTTGAAAACATGAATAAAAAGCAATAAAATAGAAAAAAGAAAGAATCAGGTGAAAGGCAAAATATAAATGAATGAAAAAAGTAAAGAAAAAAAAGAAAAAGAATGGCTTCTGACTTTCCTTGGTATAGATACAGATAAAAATCTAATTCTTAGTCTACATTACATCTATAATCTCATACAATTCTAAATACCAAATACTAAAATAAAAATTATGTTTATCTTAGTTTGTCACAAAAAAATCCTAAAGTGGTTTCATTAACAACTTATCAAATCCCAAAAACAATTACATTTCTCTTAGATTCTCATAAAAAATTCATACAAGTACCTAGTAACATAAATATATAGCCTCTGTTCCATTTAGTCTACATTGCCTTCATCTCTCTTAATGATTAAACATTGCAAAAAAGAAGTTAAAAACTATTAAACATTTATCAAACATAATCACCTTTTTGTGATATCAAAAATATATTACTCCACTAGACATTTCCAAAAGAAACATGATCCAACCCAGATTCAATATCACCAGAAATAAGAACTAGTTCTTTAACCATAACCAGATAAACCAATTTTATATCTTTTCCTTCTTTTTCCCAATCATATTTAAGTCCCATAAATAAAATTCTAAATTGTTTTCTTCCAGTATATTTTCTTCTTCTTTCAAAATTCTTATCTTTCAAGTCCAGTTGTAGTTTTTGTGAAATAACACCAATAAATCTCTTATACTTCCAATTTGAAAGGGGAATCCACAATGTCTTTTTCCATTTTTAAATGATTATTCAATTGCATTTATAAATCCAATGAATCCAGAATGATTTCTTTGTCATCAATAATAAGTTCTGGTTCCAGTAAAGAGTTAAAAAATTCAAGCACTTCATTGGCCAATAAATCAAATATTTCCTTTAAAATAGTCAGGCTTCCTCCTTAAATATAGAGGAAGGAAAATCACCACCCAGTAACAGGGAAAACTTGCAAGACAACCATAAGGGACCCTGTCCATTGTGGTCATGATGGCTGTTACGTGAAGTATCCATGTGATTGCCCCACTTACAACCCCTCATCCTTCCCTGGGAAGGCCCTGAAAAGCTTAGTGCAGGCCCTTCTCCAGACCTGCCAGGGCCTTCCTCACCCAGAGACATCCCATGCTCTCCTTCCCACCCCTCAGGATCCACAGTTCAGTGAGGCTGTCCAGAAAATGGCTGCTCAAAGCATCACATCCTGTGGCCAGGAATATAAAGGTCTGCTCTGCTTCTCTAATGTAACTGCAGAAAGCTCTGCATTAATCCTTTCCAGAGCTTATGTTAAAGAAACAGAGTAGCCTCTTCATTCCTGGGCCACATGGCATGATCCTGAAAGTAGCCACCATTTTCGGAGTGATCATAATTCAATGCAGCAACACAGAAAATGGTGGCCACTTCTGGGATCATGCCATATGGCCCAAGAATGGAACAGTTTTCCTTCCTTCTCTAACCCAAGCTCCAGAGATCTTTGAAAGGTGAGTGGTAAGATCACATAGGGAAGCACCTTGTATCCATCTTTTTTAAAAATTCATTCTAGGTGTTTGGATTTGAGTAGTTGCTCTAAAAGTCCAGAATATTTTCTAAGTATCAGTAATTGATATTTTTATTCAAAATATTCCTTTCTTCCTTCTTTGCCTTCCTTTTTTTTCTTCTAAGGACAACCTTGGTAACATCCCTTCAGTAGTTATAGAGCCTGCATCAAACAATGAAGATGGAGACGATCATGAGATACAAGTTACTCAATCTGTGGAAGAAGTTGGTAATCAGAACACTGAAATACCCACTGTTGAAACTACAGATGATATAAGTGAGCCAACAAATATAATAGAAGTACAGCCTGCATCTTCTAAGAAACAGCCTGCAGCAGCAGATGACATGCCTCCCGGCTTCCTCTATAAGGTTTTTTTCAGGATTTATTAATTCCGTGTGTGTGCGTACGTGCTATACTGTAGCACAGAATGTAGATAAAGACCAGGGATGTATACAAATGGCATAATGCAGCCTTCAGGCTTCAATACCAATAAAATTGTCGTTGATCAATATGCAATTATAACTAGATTTTCCTGTCTTCAAATTTTGAAATTTTCAGTAGCATGCTCAAAACCAGTTATTACCTTATTATTGTAGTATAACCAATATCTCTCAAACTTGGCAATTTTAAGATGGATGAATTTCAATTCCCAGAACTCTCCAGTTAGCATGAGCTGAGGAATTCTAGGAGTTGAAGGTCTGCCATCTTGAGGTTGGCAAGATTGAGAAACACTTGCATAGCCTTTACTTACAGTAGTTCATTAAGTAGCCACAAAATGTTATAAGTTTTGTTTTTCAAGTTTCCTCACACATGAAAATGTGTAGATCGTGTTGCCAAAAAACATTAAAAGGACCTATATGGAGACATATCAACAGCACTCTTAGTTGCTTAGAATGTGTCCATTTTGTGGAGCATTCTTTGTTTCAATAGCAAAAAAGGGAAACAAAAGAAATATTTTACTTAGCCACTACAGTACTTAGATATATTGTACCTTGTAATTTAGATGAAGTGAAATATCTATAAATATATAATTAATCCATAGACACTTGTTTCTGTTCTTAGGTTGAAGCTTTGCATGATTTTGAGGCAGCCAACAGTGATGAACTTATGTTGCAACGAGGTGATATTGTATTGGTAATCCCATCAGCAGCAGAAGCAGATCAGGTAACAGCAGAGCGGCTTTATTAAATTTAATAAAAAATTTGCTTTTTACTGGAAACCGAAATGCTGTCAGGAATATTTTTATTCATTGGAGTAAATATTTTAGAAGAGCTTTGTAGTGAAAAAACAAAGTATATTAAAATTACTACAGGCCATACTGTAAAAGCTAATTATTTTCATTCATAATATAAATGGAGGAGCATTGCTAAACTTAACTCTTTTTAAAAAGGATTGCTAAAGATAATTTTTACATGCACAGATAGTACATATGAGCAGCTCTTATGGAAATATAATTAGAAAACTAAAGTTTTGTTTTCCTTTCAGGAAGCAGGTTGGTTAACAGGCATTAAGGAATGTGATTGGATTCAATACAAAGATGCATCCACATACAAGGGACTGTTCCCTGAAAACTTCACCTGCAGTTTTGAGTAATTCCCAGCTCCAGAAGCAACATCCTTTTCTAGGAAGCTCAGTTTGAACATCTCCAACATACAGGAGTCCATAGTTGAGCCATCAGACAAAATTCAGCTGAAGCTTATCAAATGAGCATGATTGCAAGAAGTTAAAAGCTAGCATATTCTGAAACAGTATGTGGAAAAAAGTACTTATTTGTTCACATATATATGGCAACAGGTTTGTTTGTACTTTGTCAGAGCTATGGTGATCCTGTAACTTGATCTTTCCCCATGCAAATGAGTAGGCTCCTCAATACCAAACCTTAACTTCTCTGCACTAACTGTATTGAATTGAGTTGATGCACTGCAGAAGACTTCATTAGTAATCCTGTAGTACTGAAATCAAAGTATTCTAGTTTCAGTGTGTTTGGGGGGGGGGGGGAATCTGCCACAAAAATTTTCCATGTTATTTTCTTCCGTATGTATGTACATATAGAGAGATACCTATGTGTTGTATCCATACATAGCACATAAAAATCCTAAGAAACTAACCTGCAGCACAAGTGATTGGTGACATAAATAGCAAACATTTGACATGAAATCAGGAAAAACTGGAGAACATGTGTATTTGTTAAGCTTAGGAGACTAATAGAGAATTATTACAGAGGGAGTGTAATATGCATTAGAATCACTATCATTTTTGAAGGTTGGCTGTCACTGATTTTATGCATTAGCAAATATCTTACCTACATATAGTCATTTCATGTAAAATTGTTCATTCAGACATTGCAATTATTATCAGGTATTAAACAATTCTGTTACAAAAGGAAACTAGCTGCACCATTACCAAAATATTGAATAGTAAAATATATATTTGTAATGCAAAATTATCATTTCAAGCATTACAAAAAAGCTACCAAACTCATTTTCAAAGCAGTTGAAACATGATTGAAGGCATGGCTCGTTCACATCTACATTATCTATCTACTATAGATAAGTTGAAATTATTCTGATAAGGAAACTATAGTGGTAGATTTTGTATTTTTAAAATGGCTGGATGAATAAATACATTTCTGAATTAAGATAATATATTTTCACAGTATTTATTCAATATATATTCAACAATCCCCTAAAATATCATGTATTGTGTATCAAAAAGACATCTGTAACTATTATGTTTTTCAGTGTTGCGTCATTTTAAATAAATCTATGATCAACTCCATAAGCTCAATTTTTATATATGTTCTCATACATATTAGCACGGCATCTTTTAAATTCTATGGCACATCCTGTTGGCTTTAAACTAAATTACTGCTCTTCACCATACATGGTTCATTGTAGCAAAGCGCTAAATCTATGGTTCAGTAAGCAAGAATGAAATGTTAGCCCAGATGAGCATATGGTACTCAGTGGCTTGCAACATTGTCACTTTTACAGCTTGTGTTTATCAAGCCTTACTGAAATTAATTTTTACCTTAGGTCTATTTCAGTGGTAGCGAACCTTTTAGAGACCGAGTGCCCAAACCGCCACCCAAAACTCATTTATTTATCGCTGCGTGCCGGGTGGGCATGGCCGACTGGGTGGGCATGGCCACAGTGGTCACAGCTGACTGGGTGGGTGTGGCCACAGTGGGGTGTGGCCACCTTGATGGTATTTGTGGGGAGGGATGCTTGTGGGGGCTGGGAAGGGTTGGGAGAGATCCAGGGGGTCTCTGGCCGGTGGGGCGGTGGACCGGAGGCTCATCCTGTGGGGTGAGGCAAGGAGAGACAGGGTGGGTGTGCCAATTGCCGTGGGGCAAGGCAAGGCAGGGGCTGAAGCAGCTGCTGCCTGACACCATCAGCCCCCCCCCACACAGAGGCCAGAGAGTGCATGGGGGCCGCCGCTGTCCGTCAGCAGCCACAGCCTCTTGCATCATGGCAGCCCCATTGGCATGAGCGGAGACAATCCTGGGACGGCCGGAAAGGAGCCCTCACCTGGTGCGGGTCCTTTCTACAGGGTGGCTCTGACGGGGCGGCAGCTGCTGCTGCTCTGACCGGTCAGCCCTGCAAGGAAGCAGAAGGGACAGCTGGTGCACGAATCTGCTGCCTCATCGGGCTGCTAGTGAGCAGCCGAGGCGGCTCCAGACCCCTGGCTGCCCCTCCACCTCCTCCTGCTTCCCTGCATGGCTGACCAGTCAGAACAGCAGCAGAAGCCACCCCCATAAGATCTGTCGAGTGGATGTGCCCAGGCCGGGCAAGGGCTTCCTCCCTCAGTGAGAAGTAAAATCTCTCTTATTACGGTTTAGTTTACAACCATAATAAAAAAAACCTTTGTTCCCAAGAATTGTTTTCCTAGCAGCCAGGCAGAAGAGCGGAGCCCCGAGGCAAGTATCCCGGAGCTGTTTCCACCCGCGTCTTTCTCATTCTCAATTCTATTGCTTGCGTGTTGTCTGCACTCCCCCCCCCCAATTGCTCTACACTTCGCAGCCCAGGGAGTGAGATTCATCCCACCTCAGGGCCCTGCTCTTCTGCCTGGTGCTGGCAATTCCATCATCTGCAGTGGCCAGAACAAGAGGCGGATCGCAGCAGCCCATTAATCTTTTTGCTGCATCAGCACCTGGGGGCTTGCTATTCCCCCCCTCCACCCAAAAATCTAGGTCAAGGTGCAAATCCAGCTCATGTGCCTTTGCTCAGGAGGAGCAACTTATTATGGTTGTGAACTAAGCCATAATAAGAGGTTTTACTTTGCGCCGATTTATGGGGAGGAGGAAGCCCTTGCCTGGCCTGGGTGCATCCACTCGATGGATCTGATGGAGGTGGCTTCTGCTGCTGTTCTGACCGGTCAGCCATGCAGGGAAGCAGGAGGAGGTGGAGGGGCAGCTGGGGGTCTGGAGCCACCTCGGATGCTCACTAGCAGTCTGATGAGGCAGCAGATTCGTGCACCAGCTGTCCCTTCTGCTTCCTTGCAGGGCTGACCGGTCAGAGCAGCAGCAGAAGCCACCCTCGTCAGATCCGCCGAGTGGATGCACCCAGGCCAGGCAAAGGCTTTCTTCCAGCTATCCCAGTGATTTTCGCCTGCGCCGATGGGGCTCTGTGGCCAGTCCACCATTATGCAGGACAGCCAGCATGCTGTGGCTGCTGACAGACACTGTTGGCCCCCATGCGCTCGCTAGCTTCTCTGTGTGTGGGCCAATAGTGTCAGGCAGCAGATCCGGAAGCGAAGCTCTGCCGGCGGTGGGGGAAGGCAGAATCTGGCATGCGGGCACCCTTTGCCGCTGCTGCCGCATTATCCTGCGTGCACCTCCGGGCGGAGAGGGGAGGGTATCTGCCACAGCTCACCTTCCCCCACCACTGACCCCACCAGCGCAAGGATGGTCAGCACAGCTTTGCTTCCAGATCTGCGGCCGGCTGGGCTTGGTGATGTAGGGATCACTGCCGCCTTGTCCTCCTGCTTCTGTGTGGTTGGCCAGTCAAGTGGCTCAAGAGCAGCCGCTGCCCCATCAGAGCATCCTGTAGACAGGACATGCACCAGGTGAGGGCTCCTTTCCGGCAGTCTCCGCTCACAATGGGGCTGCACTGCAGAAGGGAGATGGCTCTGATTTCACTCACTCTCCCATCGAAACTGCTCCTTTTATACGTTTCCTCACCCCACCCAGCTCTTGCAACTATTCCCTAACTGCACATGCGCGGAGAGGGGGAGGAGCCCAGAAATGGTGTGCATGCCCACAGGGACGGCTCTGCATGCCACCTGTGGCACGTGTGCCATAGGTTTGCCACTACTGGTCTATTTCATTACATTAATAAACTGGGTTTGGAGACACCCAAAACTTAACTATCTATTGTATGTATATCTACTTGAAAAGTCAATAGAGAGGAAATTATTACCAAGTACAATGGTATCTTAGTATAAACTGCTTTGAACCTCATTGAATTTCAACCCATTTTGACATGAAAATGTTGTCCCGGTACTTATCATTTGTTTGGTACTCAATGCTAGGATTTGTCGGTATCGACTGCCTTGTAACTCACTACATTATTTCTTATAGGAAAAATTTCTTTGGTACTTATCACTTTTGGTACTCATTGTGTCTCCCAGAATCAATTAACGTTGAGTACTGAGGTATCACTATAACTGAGAATTGGATTACAATTAACATACAAAGCTTTATTTTATGCCTAGACTGGAGATGCTGAGAAAAGTTCCTACTGGAGGACTAATGCAGTTTATTTGATCTTGAGGTATAAGTACCAATTTTCTTAAAAATTAATTTAAGGTATATGGCTTTTACTATTCATTTTAACAAATTAGAAATGTTAATGCTTAGGAAAATTCTCATCCAAAATTTGAAATAATATTTAATTTAAAGCCATGCAAAACCAGTTGGTCATAATCTATGAAGTGCTGAAGAACTTTCCATTCCAAGCAGAAATGACCCATCCAGTATATTCAGTCAGTTGATGGATATTCCTTTGTCATTTTGTCATTCCTTTGATGTTCCTTTGTCATTATTTACTTTACTGTTCTATTATTTAACTTCTATTTACATGCTTTTCATTTTTCTTCCTATTACTGTAAGCCACACAGAGTAGCCCCACAGCAAGTAGGCTGTAAATAAATTTAACAAATAAGCAAATGAGACCAGAACAAGAAAAGCAAGGACATGCTAACTCCTAGTATAAGCTCCTGTTTTGAAGATTTTCTTCTGGAAGGTCTTGAAAATTCTTTGCAAAGCTTTCAATTGTTGAGAAACAGGGTTGCTAGATTTAAGCGAGGTGGGACTATTGTGTGTTTCTATTTTACAAACTGCCAAGAGCACACATGGTTGTCAACTTGCAAATTTGTTTAGCGGCCATTCAAAGTTACAATGGCATTGAAAAAAGTGATGTATCACCATTTTTCACATGTATGATGGTTGCAGCATCCCCATGGTCATATCATCAAAATTCAGATGCTAGGCAACTGACTCATATTTATAAGGTTGCAGTGTCCTGGGGTCATGTGATCAGGTTCTGATAAGCAAAGTCAATAGGGAAGCCAGATTCACTTAACCATGTTACTAACTTAACTGCAATGATTCACTTAATAACTATGGCAAGAAAGATCATAAAATGGGGCAAAAGTCACTTAGCAGATGTCTCACTTAGCAACATAAACTTTGGGCTCCATTGTGATTGTAACTCGAGGACTACCTATATTCAGAAGTCATTGGTGTAAAAATATTGTTAATAAATAACTTGGAAATTACATGTTGAGAACCAGTTTGATATAGTGGTTAAAGTATCAGGCTAGAATCTAAGGGTCTTTGAGTTCTAGTCTTAAATTAGGCATAAAGTCAGTTAGGTGAGGGTGGGCTAGTCACTTTTTTTCCGTCTCGGGCAGTGGAAAACCACTTCTAAAAATCTTGCTGAGACAATTGAAGGGAATCAAAGAATCAGATACAATTAAACATTTTTTAAAAAAGAAATAACAAATATGTAATTGCACAGATAAGATGTATGCAATAAGGTAGATATGAGAAGCCCTGTTTTTAAATAGCATATAAAATACTGGTATAAATTACGGACATTATTTTAAAGTATCTATAGAACATGTTCAAAAATAACACATCAATTCTTACAATGTAGCAGAAGTAACCCTTATTTTTGGCTTCAGTTATGTAACATGGTATCAAAACTTTACACACAGGTAGTCCCAAATTATGACAGTAATGGAGCCTGCCCATAATGATCATCATGGTAACTTATGACAGCTGTAAAATGGATTGGCTATGTAACTGATCCAATTTTACAATCTTATTTGTGATGACTGTTAAATAAATACTTGGTAGTTAAGCGAACAAGTTTGCTATGGGTTGGTTTTCAGCAAAACCATTGTAAAACATGGTCAAATGACCATGAGATATTGCAAACAGCTGTAAATGGACCTTGACTGCTGAGTGCCCAAAGTGCTATTATATGACTGCGGGGGATAGGGGCATCCATCGGAACTTTGAATCCAGGTCGTAAGTACCTCCAGGTTGATTCATTGGGACTTCAAGAACTACCTCTACAGTCAGTTGGAGTCAAACAGATTCAAAATTGAATAGATAAAAATAAAATGAAAATATTGATTTAAAATTAAAGGGTATGAGGCCTTCTTCACAGAATTGAGAATTCCCAAAAAAACCATTATATCACTTTTTATTAATTTATATACAAATGTGTACTTCATTTAAAAAAAAGATAAATTGTTAAAATTTAAAATTATAGCAAATCTAAATCCTTATTAGCTGATCACTATACCACTATACTGATTTAAACCCCGAGCATGTCTCAGTAGATCAGATGTATTTCAAACATAAATTAGTACATTATGAACAAGTATTTCTTCATATTAGATACGATTCAATCACACACATAAACACACACATACACAGAAATATTATGTCTGTGTGTGTTCTCTCTGCATCTGTATGTAGATTATGCAGATGCAAAACAGTTTTGATGAGGTATTACAGAGCAGGAAGATAAATTCCTTTGATTATAATTAAATTAATGATGCCATTAGGAGTTTCAACAATAAGTTGAATAAGCATCACCATAATAGTTCCATGAGTGGGAATCTTCAAGCTACTCCACAGTCAAGTTTTCACTCTGAAAAAGAAAACAAAATACTTTATGTAATATTACAATTAGCCTATCTTTACCTATAGGATTCAGTATGAAAGGAAAAAGATTTTAATTTAAATCACCCCAATTCTCTCTGTGCTTAATATTGTTTCTTTGTGACAGAAATCAACCATGTGAACCTTAGCTAAAGTTGAAATATAGTCAATATTATACTGTGGTGTAATATAAATACAGCCAACTAATAGATTTACCATTGTTTGTTTTGAAAAATACTTACATAGTCAGGAGATTTAATATACAGAAATTAATTGCAAAATACAATTTTCTTACTAGATTGTCAGGAAAACTGAGAAACAAATGGCTGGAGTGAAAATGTTTACCTGTACCAGTATCTCAGTCTTTTCCCAGAAGCATTTCAAAGACTCCTGAAATGTTCAACAATTTACAATTGAATGCTCAAGTACTTTGGAAAGTCAGTTGGTATAAGAGTAAAATATCTAATACAAAACATAAAGTTGATGTCAGAGTTGCTGTCCAAACTTCTAATCTTACCGCCAATTGCTATATTTGTTATACAACTGGTTTTTCACTGTCTTGCTTTTCTTCAGATTCTTCATCGGATCCTATAAAAAGGAAGACCATGCAGCCATTAAACTTTACTAAGTAGTACATATATGTCCACGTGCATAAGAACAGAGTTTGGGGTTTTTTGTTTTTGAGTTTTGTTTTGTTTGTTTTTGTGCCTTCAGGACATTGCCTGAACAAATCCCTGCAGTTTTCTTGACAAGATTTCAGACATGGCTTGTCATTGCTTGGGCTGAGAGAGAGTGACTAGCCCAAGTTCAACTAGCTGGCTTATCCCTAATTTAGTACTAAAATTCATTGTCCCAGTTTGTAGTCTACATCAAGTTGGCTCTATATTAAGAGAATCTCAACTTATCTACTATTAATTAATTTAATCAGAAACATTTTATAACTGTTTCTATAATTTTCCTGCTTTTCATTAAAATTAATTTAACTTGCCAAATACATACATACACTTTCAAATCATAAGCCCTAGCATTGTAACAAAAAGACACCAAACATGCAGAAGTGAGATTCTATCATTTGTCACATGGATAATTACTTCAATCTAAGAGAACACCTATCTAAATGCATGTATATAACTTGGAATACACCTAGCAGCAAGAAAAATGTGTGTTTCAGTATCAGGTAAATATATCCTGATTTCACTTTCTGGTTTAAAATCAAAATTTTACTCATATATAATACATAATCAAATATAGCAAAAAAATTTAAAGGCATTAAGTATTTTGCACACCATTTCAACTGGTATCTGATACAGTTCCACCTACAGTATTTTTTTTCCCATTAGCAACAGCCCTACGGGAGTTGTATCTACTAGTGGAGATTGTTAAATGTATTTCTAACCCTAACACACACACTCAACTTTCTTAGAAGGATCTGTTTCCTGAAATTTGAGCCACAATATATAGATACTAACATGGAATGCTCAACATTTGTCTTCAAGACCACTATATGACAATAAAAGGGAAATTTCACTTCCTGAGTCTTATATCTCCCCAAAATTGTTTATAATAAAACAAGCCCAAAATGCATTGTTGTTCTACTGTCTGGTATTCACCAAGTAGTACAAAACCAAGTAAAAATTCTGTGCCAGTAGCACATTTAGCATATATACTCCAGCAAAAAGCAAACACCAACATTGTTTTGTTATTGTTCTATAAAGTTTAAACACTAAAAGTCTCAGAATTAAAACATTTCATTTGAAATTAAATATACAGACATCTTTTATATGACTTGTTTACAAAGTATCTACTCACAAAGGTAATACTATCCTGTATTCTTTTATATAATCATTATAATATAAAATAAAATGCTATTGCAGTATTGTTACATCCTAAATTTTTGTGCCATTTTTATTTTCTAACCATTGTAAATCTAGAAGAGAAAAAATACATTATTATCTATACAGAATTACTTCCCAAATTCATGAGAATAAGAAACATTTTAAATTGCATGAAGTACTAGAGTATTTGTTTAACAAAAGTGTTTTGAGTAGATGAGGATTAGATGTCATTGTCATTTATCCAGCCTTTCGTTGCCAATGAAAATGCTAGGTAAGTCAGACAATCACCATCCTGATGAATAGTACATATTACAATGGTCAAATAGATTCATCTGAGATACTAATACATACAACATAAGCACATTGTACATATTTCACCTATTTTATATTTTGCTGTTTATTATTTCTTTCTTTTTTTATAAATATTTTTATTCAGTTTTATAAAGGTAATAAGGGGATAGGGTCAAAAAGGGTAAGACAACGGGAAGCATACAAAAAGGTTAGACCAGGGAAAAGGGGTAACACAAAAGTGGGATTAATCCCCCAAAACAACATCGCTTCAGCAAGTCTACCAGTGGGTTTACATATTAAATCTTAATAATTACTCTATTATTAAACAACTATCCATATAATCACATAAATAACAAATTAGTCAATAAATCTCATTCATTTCACTACTTAACAATGCTTAATATTAATTATAATCACTTTAAAATAATAATATAGTACATATTAATTATAATTTACCATATTATTTAAGATCACAAATATACAAAGAGGAAGAAGAAGAAGAAAAAATAAGAACAAGTTCATACAAATAATCATGGAATATAAATACAAATTATCAATTATCTCTTTAAATTTCATATCCTTTTCTCACTCTAGCGTGTTTCTAACCAATAATAAAATTTCCCCCATGTTTTAAAGTAAATTGTGTCTTCTTTCTCTTTCATTTCTAAAGTCAGTCTATCCATTTCTGCATATTCGAGTATTTTTGTTATTATAGCCTGGTCAGATGGTAAATTTTCATTTTTCCAAAAATGGGCAAATATTATTCTTGCGGCTGTCAGCACATGCAATATTAAATACTCATTCTCTTTTCCATAATCAAACCTAATATTCCTAATAAACAAAGTTCTGGTTTAAATTCTATCTGTATTTTAATCATCTCTTCTAGCCACATATGGATCTTAAACCAAAACTTTTTAACATTAGGACATATCCAATAGTGATGGTAATAAGTGCCTGGTTGTTGTTTACATTTCCAACACATATTTGATACATTTTTAAACATTTTCTCTAATCTATCTGGTGTCATGTGCCATCTATAAAACATTTTATATAAGTTTTCCTTATATGCAGCTGCTTTACTAATGTAATATTTCAGTCCCATAGTTTTTGCCAATTTTCTAAATCTATAGAATAACCAAAATTCTTTGCCCACACTATCATTGTTTCTTTCACTTGTTCTTCTTCCATCTTCCAGTTTAGCAGGAATTTATAAAGTTTCTTAATCAGATTTTCATCTGTTTTTAAAAGTATTTTATCTAGTGGTGTCCTTTGTAAAATCCCATTACTTTTACATCTTTTTCATATCTTGTTTGAATTTGCAAGTATGACCACCATGTTAAATCAATGTGTAGAGGTGAGAGACAGGAAAAGGTCGTGTGCAGAACACTGCCCCCCCAACACTTGTGTGTCTTCTCTGCATTTATCTCCCCACCTCACTCTGCTCACATTACCATAGTGATGTGGAAGTATGTAGATCTGTGTGACCTCAGCCAGTTTGATAAGGCTGGCTGGTGAACAACAAGTTTCCCTGGTTATGGCCTCTAGCTTTTTACTCTTGAGGATTGATAAAGGATTTTAGTCAATGAAATGTTATTGCCATGCAGTAACTTTTGCTATTTGTAAAACTCTATATAAACAAATAAAGGCTGCATGCAGGTGGCCATTTCTTTGCACCCTTCAATGACTAAGGACTGATTACTACAGCTGGCGCCCGTTAACAGGGACTTTTGGGACCCCTCCGGGAAGAAGCAGCCACCAACATACTTATCATCGTCTGGAACAGACCCCTAGGTGCACTTTCGTCTTACGAGACCTCTCAGTGTGAGTATGGGCTGTAAATTATCTCACCCTCAGCAAAAGCACATACAGGAGCTCAGACTCCTGCTACAGAAGTCAGGCATGGCAACGCTTGAAACGGACATAAGGAAGCTGATTGGGGAGATAGGAAAACAGTGTTCTTTGAATCCTGAGCATCGGATGCTTAGGCTAAAAGATAGAGCATAAATTACATCTTGAACCTTGGGCTCCAGTATAAACATCTATAGTATTCAGTCCCGTTGGGCAAGGGGAAAAAAATGGACCCAAATACTTCAGAAGGGCAGCAATTAACTATCAGCCCCCTCCTGCTTGCAACTAAGTAAAATTTATTCCTCCTAAAAACATCTTTAATTGGATTTTCAGCTTCTTCTGAGGAGGCTAATTCGTTTGCTGTTTAGTTAGAGACATAAATCAAAATGTACCCCCTCAACAAAGTGTTTTGAGCAATCAGAATGCTTTGAAACTCTATAAATCTGTTAAGTTAACCCTGTCAGACAAATGTCTGGTTGTGTTTTGTGTTATGTGTGTGTGTGTGTGGCCACTCAGAACATTATGCTTGGGCTTGGAATGGTGAGAAAAATGGGAAATGATTATTAATATTGTTTTCAAAAATAACTTATCTCTTTAATGTGCTTTAACTGACTATATAGGCTGTATTTCATATCATTTGCTTAATGATCTTTGACTTGCTTGTTTATTTTTTCTGATCTACTCTTATTTTAGCTTTTCAAATCTTTTCTCAACAGTCTTTTAACTTAATCTCTGACTCTCATTATGTGTGCCAACTTACTTTTACTCCTTCAGGTGCTTACATCACGCCCAGGATTGACTCCAAACTTATGACTTTGTTTTTAACTTTGCAGTAGCTGCTCCAGAACTGAAAGCATTTATAATTTTGTTTCTTATATACACAATCACTCCTCCCTTCCTGGGCCTAATTTTTTTTGTATGTCGTTTTTATGTCTTTTATATGGTTTTGTTCTAATCAACTATGACAAATGGATGTTATCCATGTTCTCTCTTTTTGGCTTCCTAGAAATATATTCATAAATAGGTATTTAGGAACAATTTCCCCCATCTCTACGAGGGGAAACAGCTTCACATGTTATTTTTCATCTTTTTTTTGGCCGTTACAGCCCTGGGTAAACCCTCTTCCCTAAAAACTGACAATGGGCCAGCCTATTCTTCAGTGGCCTTTTTACAATTTTATACAACCTGAAATATTGTTTTTACTCATGGTCTTCTCTATAATTCCACGGGTCAAGCTATCGTGGAACATGCTAATTGGTCTTTCAAGGACTGCCTTCACAAACAAATAAAAAAGAACGGATTATCTAGGGTACCCAATTTGTCGTGGGTAATACAACAGGTACAAAAAGTATTATTTACATTACACCAATTGAATATTTCCATTCCAAATTTGACTGCTTATCAGATACACTTTCAACAGAAAACAAGCTTGCCTCCACCTTTGGTATATTATCGGATATTACCAGACAAAGCATGGTTGGGACCAGTCCTTCTGATCACTTGGGGGCGGGGCTATGCCGCTGTGCTTGCTCTAACAGGACCTTTGCGGATTCCAGCGCATTGTGATCACCCAGCCAGGGATATTGTGGCACCAGTCCTGGACCCAGTCCCAGA